TCTCCATAAAATCAATTATTATTTTAAAGATTTTTTATGAAATTCTTTTCCAAAATTCAATTATTTTGATAAATATCAAAATTATTTTCAAGAATTCAATTATTGTCAAAAATTTTAATTAAATTCTTGGCAAAATTTCAATTCTTTAAACCAAATTTAATAAAATATTATTTTTATAAATTTTAATGAAAATCTCGTCAAGAATTCAATTATTTTTATAAATAGCAAAATTTTTTGCCACAAATTCAATTATTTTCAAAAATTTAAATAAAATTCTTTGCAAAATTTGAATTATTTTAAAAAGTTTTTCGCAATTCAATGTTTTTAAATATTTACTAGTTTCATAAATTTTATCAACAGGTTTAATTATAGAAAAAACTTGTTGATACAATTCAAAGAAAAGATTCAATTATTTTCATAAATAATAAAATTTCATTTACGAATTCAATTATTTTCATCGCAGAATTTCAAATATTTTTAATAAAATTTTAAATAAATTCCTTGAAAAATGCAATTATTATTAAAAATTTTATTAAAACTTGAGGAAAGAATTTAATTTTAAGAAACATTCAATTATTGAATAAAACAATGAAATTCGTTACAATAATTCCAATATATTCATAAATAACATTTAATTCGACGCAGAAAATCAATTATTTTCAAAAATTTTTAATTAATTTTGCAAAAGAATTCAATTATCTTGATAATTGACAAAATCGCATAAATTCTTCCCATAAAATCAATTATTCCAAGGAATTTTAATAAAATTCTTTTCCAAAATTCAATTATTTTGATAAACATCAAAATTCATCACAAAAATTCAATTCTTTTGAAAAGTAATAAAATATTTTGCAGAATTTAAATTATTTTCAAAATTTTTGAAAAATTCTCGTCAAGAATTAAATTATCTTTATAAATAGATAGGGAAATTCTTCTCAAGAATTTAATTATTGTTAACAATTTGTTTAAAATTCTTCTCAAGAAGTCAATTATTTCCAAAAATTTTAATAAAATTCTTTAATTTGAAATTGTTTTCAAAAATTATTATTTAAACTCTTCTCAGGAATTCAATTATTTTTAAAAATTTAATAAAATTTTTCAAAAAGTTTTCAATTATTTTCAAAAATTTTTATAAAAATTCTTTAATATAATAAATTTTATTAAAATTTGAATTAAATTCCTGAAAAGAAATTAAGTATTTTCAAAAGTTGTTAATACAATTCTTCGTAAAAATTAAATTTTAAGAAACATTCAATATTATTCATTTTTCTATTTAAATAATTGATTTCTCGTAGAATTAAATGTTACTTGTTACTTGGGGTTTTTTAGGGTCGCCGATAACGAATATGAAATCAGATTTTCAAAATTCAAAATGGTGGTTCCAATATGGAGGACAAATTTTTTAAAATTGATCGAAATTCACTTGAAACTTGTTACAAGGGTTTTTTTGGGAAGGTTGGAGCTAAATGATGCATTTTGTCTTAAAAGTCCTCCCGAGAGAAATTTAAAAAAGAAAAAAGAAAATCGTTCAAGGTTATGATTGTGTTATTTTTACATTGTTAAAAAGTTTTCGTTTAATTGTGGAGAACTGAAATCAGTTTTTATTAATAATTTTCGAAGCAATGAGGGTTTAAACATCGGCTCTTTATATTGAGAGAGTTGATTGCCTTTGTTTATTTCAATTAAAAAAATTATAAACATAACCTAAAAACAAAAAAAAAAAATAAATAATTTCATATAAATTTGATATAATCATTAACATATATTATGTATAAAAAAAATAAAAAAATGACAATCCAAAAAAGTTAATTTTCAAAACAAACAAATGAATGCAGATAAATCTTTCAGAGGAAAAAAACTCTGTAATCAAATTGCAATCATCAAATTATATTACTGTATTTTTATTGCTATTGTTATCATTATTATTGTTATTATTATCATTAATATTATTATTATTATTATTTTTATTATTATAATTGTATTTTTATTAAATTATTATTATTATTATTTTCATTATTATTATTTTTATTATTATTATTATTATTATTATTATTTTTATTTTTATTATTATTGTTATTATTATTATTGTTATTATCCGTTCTGTGGAAAAAAAAAATTTTCCTTGCACTTTTGTTGCTACGTCATAAGGTTTATTTTTCTGGTTTTATTATGACAGTTATGTTGAAGGTACTTAGTCAATATCTAAGTGATTACTTTTTGTAAAATGTAAGTTAAAGTACCAGTTTATTATTATTTAGTATGTTGTTATGTATATTTATAATCCTATTTCTGTCATAAACTTGTAAACAATAATATTTACATTTGTAAATATGTTTTTTTATGTCTCGAGACTGATTTTCGCCTTATGGGATTTGACAATTGTAAAGATCGAAAAAACATTGATTATTTTATACTGTTTGGTCTATATTAACCCTAGAACAGTACAACATAGCTGGCTCATACTCAAATTCACTTGCAACTTATTATTTGGGGGTTTTCGAGGTCACCATTTTGAATTTTTTAAATCTGACTTCAGATTCGTAATCAGCGACCCCGAAAACCCCCGAGTAACAAGTTTTATGTTAATTTGATCAATTTTGAAAAAAAAAATGTCCGCCATATTGGATCCGCCATTTTGAATTTTCAAAATATTGAAAATCTGGCTTTAGATTCGTAATCAGTGACCCCAAAAACCCCTGGAGTATGAAAAAAATTATTGCTTCCTCATAGAGGAAGGATTGTATTTAGCAAAATTTTCGATTGTGATTTTTTGACATATTTATAAATTTTTTTTCATTATACCTAATCTTTTAGTACTTTATGTACGAACGGGCACTGTCCGTATAAATGTTCTAAATAAATAAAAAAAAATTTCGACGTTTTTTGACCTCCGAAGTCCAAAAAACGGATTTTAAACATTTGTCCCGATGTGTGTGTGTGTACTAACATTACATTTACCTCAATATCTCAGAACGAGAAAGAGCTAAAGGCCTCAATTTTTTTTAAATTGTAGGTCTCCCCGGGGGACATAAAATGAGAGTATTTTCAGCCCGATTCATAAAGTTTAACTATATTATTTTTGCATTTTTCATTTTGTAAAAAAATTTTTTTTTGGCCATAACTTAAAAAAATGTTAGGGCACCTATAAATGTTTTTCTTTAGTTTTGTAGAATTTTTTCAGACGCATCTTTTGAGCCTTCATTGAACATTTTTCGTCTATATTAGCCAGAGATATTAAAGTTTTAAAATTTTAAATTTTTCGAAAATAACACTTTTTTGAAAATTTTGTTGAAAAATATAAAAGAAACTTTAAAACTTTCATTACTAACTTGTAGAGCATTAAAAAAGGCTTCGATTGACCTATTTTTGAACCTGATTCGGTCAAAAATTATCAAATTATTGGTATTTAAAAAATCAAAAATTGTGGAAAATATAATTTTGTCAACATTCTTGTTTATTCACTTATGTGTAATTAAAAATAAGTTAATGAACAAGAATGTTGAGAAATTATTAAACTATTATAACCATCTTATAGAATATATAAAACATATTTTTTGGACCAAGATTTAATGATTTTTAACTTTTTTATAAAAATTAATTCTTATATTTCAATTATTATTATTTCTATGAGGAAGCAAAGTGTTCATGAAATGAACATTAAAATTATAAAAATGTACAACTTGGCAGCGGTTTTTTGTATTTTTAAAATTAAAATGTCATTTTGGCTTTGACGATTGATGCTGTAAAGAGTTCTTTTTAGTAATTGTTCTATGGCTTCGAATATCACTAAGACTCCTCAGTGATATTTTAATTCCTTTGTATCATTGTGTATTTATTTGTTGTTTAGCTTGATAATTATAATTTTTGTTAGTTGTACTAAAGGACCTTGAGCTCGTTGATAAAGAAACATTATAAAATAAATAAACATCATTTATTGGATTTCAATAAAAATTATTAGATTTAAGTAAATATTTATTTGATAATAGACAAGTGATCGGTTACTTGAATAAAATATGTTTGTCAATCAGGAGCATCATTTGGATTCTAATTTAGTATTTCAAAAATGTTTTATAATTAATTATTATTTTTTCACACTCTAGAGTACTTTTTTATAGAAAAAGATTTTTCGATATTTTTTCCCTTTAATATACAAAGAATTTACTGGCTTTATTTATTGGCACTTAATGCCATTACTTATTCAGAGTAAACATTTATAAACATTTTAATTCCTTTAATTTCTCTTTTTTTTTAAAAAAAAGTAGCGGCACTTTTACTCTATCTTAGTTTATTAACTAGAAGTTTATTTATTATTTGGTTATGCGATTAATAATAATCAGAAAAAAGTGAATTCATTAAATGATAAATTAATTACTCTTGTCAATCAGTATATTCATTGAACTAATCTTGAGAATAAATCTTGCGTCATAAAAATACATTTTTCTTCATTAAAAGTAATTTTTGCTCCATCTCTCAATTCTCAGAATTGACTTATTATGTAATTAAAAAAAAAAAAATTTGTACTGATTTTCGTTTGTGACTCAAACAAAAGATTCCCATCTTTTCAATCTCAAGTGAGTTGAAATTGCTCAAATGCGTTGTAGACCATTTGAACTTTGACCCCTGGCCTAAAGCGAGCTTCATGTTTTTTTAAACAAGTGTCACGTGTAGGTTTATAGAATATTTATTTTCTGGCCTCGAAAATTCTCATTGTACATTAATTTTCAAAATAATGATTTTAATCAGAATTATAAAAATGTTAATTTTTGAAATAAATGTTAATTTAAAATTTTTTCCAGTGGAAAATGAACAGTAATTAAAATAATTCATTTAGCCGAGTGATTCAAAAAAAAAAAAAAAAATTGTAAATTGTAAAAAAGTTTCGAAGCGATTCAGCCGAATGAAGTGAAATTCAACTTTAAAAATATAATTTACATAACTTAACATCTGGCATCGGTGGAGATTCGATTTAGTGAGTTTAAAAAAAGCAAATGCTAGTTTACCTTGAGCCAACTTTGTCAAAGTTTCGATGGTATTCCAATACGGAGGTCATCATAAATTAAACATAGTTTCGATTATTCTTCCAATGTTCACTTGTTTGCATGCGTTTCGTTTCGATTGCAGATAAGCTGTCAGTCTTTGAATTGGGAAGAAAACACTTTTCTTGTTAACGTCACGTCAATATAAATAGCAACGCACTTCATTGACTTTTTTTTAAAGTTCAATTTGTTTATTTTTTTCCAAAAAATGGAAATTATTTTTCCATTTTCAGGATAATATCCGAACTTTTAATCACCAGTTTTTCAAATTTAACACTTTTAAATCTTTATCTACTACCTGCGATAAATGATTCTAAAGGTAATTGTTAGTGGGATTCCCAAATCAATAGAGGAATCGATAGTTATTAATCGAGATAAAGTGTCAGATTAGGGAAAGCACTGTCACTATTGCGAACTTGTTTTCTTTACTGTTGGCGCAAAAGAAAAAAAAATAGATTACTGCGGAGATAATTGTGAAGCGAAGTTTTTTGTATTGATGTTTCGCGGACTCTTTCAACACGAGAACTAGTCCGATGAACTCCTTACCGACTGCAAAACTTGAAGAATAAACTCGTCAGTCCAGTGAATTGAAATTGAAGTGATATGCCACCTTCGCGCCTGATGCCAGTACGCATGCGTCATACATCGTTCTGACGTCACTGTGATTTCCAGCATTGAGTGGCATTCGATGCATCCATCGTTTTCGTTTATTATTTTCGTATGCAAGTGTGAGAAGCCGGCATGGGTTGTACACACGCGGAGACCGGCATGGAGCGGCATCGCTGGAAGAATTTTTATATTCCACCTGAGAAAACAGGTTTTGTTTCCATTCGAATGACGTTAATATAAGTGACCTTTCTGCAACGAGTATCATTAAGGGATTTTTAAATTCAAAGAAAATAAATATATGTTATGGAACATTTCGTATTTTATTATTTTGTTGGTCTAATATCACTGTTAGTTCATTAATTAAATGTTAATCTATGACTAATAATATTATAACTGTTTAACAATTTTTAAACACCTTTTTAATACTCTTCTTGAAATCTTTAAATTTTACAGGATCAGTAGCAATAATAGTAAAAATAACAATACAAATAAAATACTTCTTATTTCATTTATATTAAGGGTTTTTTGAGGTCACCATTTTGAATTTTTTAAATCTGACTTCAGATTCGTAATCAGCGACCCCGAAAACCCCCGAGTAACAAGTTTTATGTAAATTTGAGTAATTTTGAAAAAAATGACCGCCATATTGGATCCGCCATTTTGAATTTTCAAAATATTGAAAATCTGACTTAAGATTTGTAATCAGCGACCCCTGAGTAACAAGTTTCAACAAAATCCAGTCGCTGGGTTCATCGAGGGTACGAAATGGGTGATTCTAATTTTTCAGTGAATTCTTGACATGGTTTGAAGACAATTTTTGTACATCGAATAATAAATTTTTTAATAACGCAATTTTCTACAAATTATATCCGACAATATTTGACTTGAAGAGAATACTTATGTATATCGAAACGTTGTTAAAATAAAATAATACATTTCATAAGTTTAAAAATAAAAAATAAACCATGACAAAAGTTGAAACACATAATTGTAATTTGTAATATAAGAAAAACTCTGATGAATTTTGATTCAAAAACAGTTTTTCATAAACCAATTAAATTTGTTATGTTTGCGTCGTTTTTAATTTTTTTTCTTATTTCTACACCTTGTAATAATAAGAAAAGTTTGCTAAAGGATTTGGAGTGGACTTGATAAGATTGATAAATGAAAATAATTTTTAAACTTTTCGTGCAATTGTGCACGCGTTGCGCACAGAACTTAAAAGCGAGTGTATATCGCTGTTCTGTTGCATTTGTATCGCCGAGGAGGCAAAAAACGAAAATATTAATTGTATCGGAAAGGTGTACTAAAAAAATAGAAAAATTTAACGCTAATTTTAATGAAATCTCGAATTTAAACTAATGATACAAACAAAAAAGAGTGCGTGTTCGACTTTCATGAAAAGTTTATCATTAATTTAGTTTCACAATACCTTTAGAGTATGGAACTACATAACTTTTATTAACATTAATTGTTAAATGATTTTTCTTACACCAGGCAGCCAATCTTACCTAGTCTCCTTGTAAGCGCTTGCAGTTCCTTGGTGAGACACATTGCAAATGCTTACTTTAAAATTCTTCTTATTTCTTTAGAAATTATTCTTAGAGAAATTGTTAGTAATGTTTGGTGATAATAAATAATATTAGCTATACTTGATTGTCGACCTTGATTTTAATAACATACAAGGTCATGTTTTCAAAATATAAAACATTAATTGATTATTTTTTTTTGATAATATAAAGTGGAAAATCATTTGGAATTTCCGGAATGACATGTAATTATGATTATAAAATAATAAAACACATGCACATGGTGAAAATAATCTCAGACATTGAGTGTCTAGTGCGACTTAAGATGTTAGGATTTCATCAGACATTATCTATAATTCTAAACAAATGTTTTTTAAAAAATCTATAAAATATTACGATCTTTTAGATGCAAATATCATTAGGCTTACATAATAAACTGTTTACTATATTTTTTATCAAATGTTTCGAACAATTTTTTATTAATAAATCGTAAAATTATTCACATTCCAGAAACGTTCCTAAAACGTTTTATGTCTTTTAAGTAATGTTTACACAGTAAAACATGAAGTGTTAAAATAACACCAGAATGGAGTAAAATAATCTGCAACAATTTAATCCCTCTAGGATTAAATAACCACCAGAAAGGATTAAAATAATCTATTTTGGTGTTATTTTTAACTATGAATGAAATTTTACTTTAAAATTAAAAATAAAAAAAAAAGTCAACGATTTGTAAAAATTCAACGAAAATTTTTTTAAATTCTCGTAAAAATTTAAATTCTCAATTTATAAATAATAAAATTCTGCTCTGATATTCAATTATTTTACAAAATTTTAATCAAATTCTTGTCAAAATTTCAATTATTTTCAAAAGTTTTCTAAAGTTCAATGATTTTCAATATCTACTATTTCAATAAAATTTTTCAAAAAAATTCCATTATTAAAAAAAATATGAATAAAATTCTACGCAAACGCAAACATTCAATTATTTTCAAAAGTAATAAAAATTTTTACAGGAATTCAATTATTTACAAATTTTTTTCATAAATTTCTTCGCAATAATTCAATTATTTTCATAAATAATAAAACTCATTGCAAAATTTTAATTATTTTTAATGCAATTTTTATCGAATTCCTCAAAGAAATCAATAATAAAAAATTTTTTTTTTAATTCTGGAAAAATTCATTTATTTACAAAAACAGGAACAAATTTTCACAGAAATTAAATTCTTTGTAAACTTTTTATTAAAATTTTCCAATAATTCAATTATTTTCAAGAAATAATAAAAACTTTAACGGAAATTCAATTCTTTTTAAACATTTTAATAAAATTTTTTGCAATAATTCAATTATTTTCATAAATAATAAAATTCATCGCAGGATTTCAATTTTTTTTAATAAAATTTTACAGGATTTGTTCAAAAATTGTAATTATTGTTAAAAATTCAATTCATCGAAAAAATTAATTATTTACTAAATTTTTTTTAAATTCTTTGGAAGAATTCAATTATTTTCAAAAATAACAAAATTTTTCACAGAAATTCAATTCTTTTTAAACATTTTAATAAAATTTTTCGCAATAATTCAATTATTTTTATAAAATAAAGATTCATCCCAGAATTTCAATTATTTTTGAAAATTTTAATTATATTCTTTGCAGCTATTTAATTATTTTCATAAATAATAAAATTCCTCACAGTACCTATTTCAAATATTTTAAATCAAATTTTACAAGAATTGCTTAAATAATGTAATTATTCTTAAAAATTTAATTTCAATTCCTCGAAAAATCAATTATTTAAAAAAAATTGTTATTTAAAATTTTTTAGAAGAGTTCAGTTATTTATAAAAATATTAGAATTTTGCACAGAAATTTAATTATTTTCAAATATTATAACAAAATTGATCAAAATAAATAGATTAAATTATATGCAATATAAACTAAATTTTTTTTGAAATAAATTAATTATTCTTTTAGATTTTAATAAAATTTTGTGAAAGAATTCAATTATGTCGATAAATAAAACATTATTCCTGAAAATTCAATTATTTTAATGCATTTTAATAAAATTCTTTGCAAAATTCTTACAATTTTTTTTTAAAACTCGCCCATAGAATTTAATGATTTAAAAATTTTGTTGATAACATTTTTAATGAGAATTTAATTTCAAGAAACAAGAAATTAATAAATTATTTATTTTTGTATTTAAATAAAAGAATTTATCGTAGAATTTACTAATAAAAATGGTTTTAAAAATGAATTTCAGTTAAAATTTTAGATTATAATTAAATATTAAAAGCATTATAACGTGGATTTTTAAAAATAATTAAATTTCGAAAAAGTTTCAAACCAAAATTTTTAAAATATTCTTAATTTTTCATATTTTTGACAAAAAATTCTGTCGAATTAATTCTTTTTAAAAGTTTAATAGGATTTTTATTGAAATTTTTTTAAGTTTTTATTTTTCAATATATATTTAATTGCAAAATTTCCGAATAATTTGAAATTTTGTAAAATTGAATTGTAAACGAATGAATTTGAAAATTCTCATAAAACTCATCGCAGGGTTTCAATTATTTTTTATACAATTAAAATTGAATTCCTTGAAAAAAGTAATTATGTTCTTGCAAGTTTTAATAAAATTCCACAAAAGAATTCAATTATTTAAAAATTTGTTACTAAAATTCTTTATGAGAATTGAATTTTGAGAAACATTCAATTATTCAATAAATTATTTACTTTTGCTATTAAATAATTAAATTCTTGTAGAATTTTATAATAAAAATTGATTTTCGTTTCATAAAAATGAATTTCAGTTAAAATTTTAGATTATAATTGAATATAAAAAGCAATATAGCGTGAATATTTAGAAATAATTGAATTTTGAAATTAATTTTTTTGAAAAAGTTTAATTGAATTTTCTTTTATATTATTTGAAGTTTTTATTTTCTAATATGCATTTAATTAAAGAATTTGGGAATAATTGAAATTTTGTGAAATTGAATATTGTAAACAAATGGATTTGAAAATTGCCAAAGAACTTTTTCGAGAAAATTATTAAAAATAATAGACATAATAATTGATAATTTAATTGATAATTTAATTCAATTCATAATAATTGAATTGAAATAGTGAAAATAATATATATATATATAACTAAAATTTCATTCATTGTAAAAAATAACACCAAAGTAAAAGGTCCGGAGTCCAGGTGTCAATGTAAATTAGATAGAAAAAGAATAATAATCAAATAAAATAAATTCTTTTTCTTTAATATATATAATTAATAAATAATTATCAAATTTACTAATTGCATGTTGAAAAGAAAAGTAATTGCCTTTTTTGTTTTGCTAAATTAATGTACACTTATCTTTCTCTTCACAAATACACCTGATTATTCAATAAAATTTTTAACTTATCAAAGGTGATATAACAGACAAAAAGTTTATGAAAATTATTATGTTTGAATAGTAGATTAAATTCGTCTGACAACAAGTGTCTCATTAATCGAGAAGCATACATGAAACAACAATATTTTGCAATTTTTTCAGCATTGATAATCTGCATCACGTGAAGCACGGGGCATATGAGAACAGAAAATGCTTTCTTTATGTCTGATGCAAAAGAAGATTTTTTACAATTTCTTATCGCATTTTTAGAGTGGGTCAAATTCCAGCTTATAAACTTATATTACTATAGAAATTATTATTTATTTTTCGTGATTGTAGTTTATTTTCAGTATTTTCATTTATTTTCATCTCAAGTGAGTTTTTAATGATTTGTAATTGAAAATTCCACAGGTTTTTTTTTTTTTATTTATGTTTTCTCTAAACAATTCTACAAAAGAAAATTCCTTTCTTCCAAAGGGGGTCAAATTTTTTTTTACGCAGTTTTAAAAATCCTCAAGTTTAAGTGATATATTTGTTGGAAAATCCTATTTTCACTCTTGCGAAGTATATAAGGAAAACTAAAATTTCTAATAGACTTTTTTATACTTATTTGCAGATTGATTTAACTTTTATCATTTTTTTTCAATTTTATTTATTTTTAGATTTTGTAATTGTTTACAAACTGATTTGTAGTTTATTTTTCTCAAACAATAAAATCGTCGTGTAATAGTTTCCATAATCTTAATACAATTGTACCACACCAGGAAATGCAGAAATTTATGAAGACACTTTTCATCTGATGACGCACAATTTCTTAATTACCAATCCTACCTATATGAATTTCTGATTTCGTACGTAAAACAAAAATTAAAATTTCATGCAACTATTTTTACACTATTAAACAATAATAAATAATTATTTAAAGTGGTAAATACATCTGTTCTACATGCCGGCTTCACGTGAGCATTGATATTTATTATCCTTTTTTTCAAAAAAAAAAAAAAAAGAAATAATTAAACACGCGCTAATATAAAATGACGCTTTTTAATGACCTTGCGTTTCAATGACATTTCTTAATTAATAATTATCTAAAGTTACAACGTAATTATAAAAATCATTCGTCTTCAAATTTTTCAGATATCATTTTTTATCAATAAGATTATGTGAGATTTATTTTTACTTTTACAATTTTTCTTCTTTCTTTAATTTATGTAAATATTGATCGTATTTTATTACTTAATTTTATTAGTTTCATTATTGCTCATCCGATGATTTATTTAAAAAATTAATGATTTAATTCTGTCTTAAACTGTTTTTCCTTTTTGACTTTATTACTTTTTAAATTAAACAATTTTTTTTATTTTTTTTTTTTAATTAATGTTTGTCTTTCTTTCTATTTTTTATTATTATAATAATTAATTAATAAAAAACAGTACATAAATATATTTATTTATGTATTATACTGTTTTTTATTAATTTATTTATAATTATATTTGTTAGCACCAGTTTTTCTTGACTTTAAAAATATTATGAAATTAATTTCTATTGTTATTTCGCACTGAAAAAGATATTTATAAAAATTCTAATCTCATGAGTTATGTAATTTTATTAACGATTTTATAATATTGTACGTCAATTTTTTAAACTTTATTATTTTAAAACACTCAGACGAAAGACGAATTAAAACTATATACGGTTTCTAGAATTAGAAAACGAGTTTTCTGTTCGTCAGGTGTGTTTAGTCCGGAGAATTTTTTTTTATTTTTGCATATACTAAACACGTCATAGAATTAATAAAAAATGTAAAACGATGCAACTCACGGTAGAGTTTCTTTTTATCATACAAATAAAAGTTATACTCTTAAATATATTTGTATAAAAAATATGTCGAAGGCTATAAGAAATGATTCAAGAGTAACTTTTAAAAAAGTTTAATTTTTGTTCTTTTATTTTTATTTATTTTTTTATTTTTATTTATTTTTTATTTTTTATTTTTTTTCTATTTTTATTTTTACTTTACATTTTATTATTTCATTATAGTTTGTTAATAAAAAGTAAAATAAATAAAATAGAAATTGATATACAAATTCGAAATATTAAATAATAGTAAAACAATTGGTATTTTAATCGTTCGTAACAATTGTAATTTTAATAAAAATAATAAAATTTATTAGATTTAAAATTTTGTAAAACATCTTAAGAACTTTTTTTAAAAATTTATTAATTCTTTTGTCTATCAGGTATGTAAATTATCACCTGAATGTTCATAAGATAAGTCTTCATCTTGACAAATGAATACTGGTTTCTGGAACAGTTTCCATGTACTGATAATTAAGTACTTTGTTTATACATGAATAAATACAATGAAAGTTAATTTTCAAGAGATAATAATTAAAGTTCAAAAGAATTGTTTAATAATTCTTAAGAAACATTAACACAGTTATAATATAAATAAGAAAATTTTTAATTTTTTTCATTTTATAGATTTATACTGAGAAACAGTATTTCGAAGTAATATAAATTCTAGGCTTACAATACTGTTAATAACAATCATATACTTTATTTCTGTACTATTCACATTAAAAATGATAAAAAACTATGTTATTAATTTTACATTTGAAAAATTTTTAAAAAGAATTAATTAATTTTTGATTCTTTGATTTAATATTTTGAAAAAAATTTTAAATATTAAAAAAAAATATTTTAATTGATAGAAAAATTTAATAAAATAATGTTGATCAATTTAAATAAAGAGAAAAAGATAATTTATCATTTCTATTGCAAAAATCAACTGAAAGATAATAGTTTAATTAGGAATAGATAAGGCATTTGTTTATAAAAGTGGATTATTATTTATTATTTATAAGACCTTAAAACAAATCTATAATATTTATAATTTGAAATTTTTATGAGTTTTCAATGGATACAATTCAGATGTGAAAAAATTTCGTTTGTACAATTTGTTTCATTCCTGAACAGTGTGATTTTTCAATTTAAATTTCATGGAATAGGATAATGTATGAAATATTATAATCTTTTTTTAGGAATCAGAACTTGATTCTATTGAATACAATGTTTAACTTTCTGATCGTTAGTTTGAATAACTATTTAAAAAATTATGAATTCTTGTCGTTAAGCTTGAAATATATCTACTATGTCTTGAACTGTTCTGAAGAAATAATTGACGACTCCTATCTTGAAAAGCAGCCACGATATAAAAATTATAGACCATCCTCTGAAAATTCTTGCAACCCATCGCATTCTGAAATTAAAAATAGTAGAAAATATTTAATTTTTATTAGATGTAGGAAACTAAAGAAAAACACTTTCAATTTCAAACTAAAATTTTTTCATTCTCTCGAAAAAATTTCAATTTTAACAAAAATTGTCCACTTTCGCACAAAAAATTTTTCACTTTCACTTACACTTCAAAAATTTTCAATTTCGACCAAAGAATTCTCACTTTCAATTTCACACTAAAAATGTTTCATTCACTCAAAAAATTTTCAATTTAAAGACAAATAATTTTTACCTTCACTCATCAAATTTTCACATTCACTGAAAAAATGCTAACTTTTACTTTTCAAAAAATCTTTACTTTTAATTTCACCTAAAACATTTTCACTTTCACTGAAAAAATTCTCACTTTCACTGCCTTTACAAATTTCACTTTCATCTATAAATGTTAACTTTCACTCAAACAATTCTCACTTTCATTTACACTTAAAAAAGGTTCAACTTTGACCGAAAAATTCTCACTTTCAATTTCACACTAAAACTTTTTTCTTTCACTCAACAGATTTTTAATTTAAACAAAAAAAAATTTTTTCATTCACTCGTAAAATTTTCACATTCACTGAAAAAATACTAACTTTTACTTTTCAAAAAATCTTCACTTTTAATTTCACTTATGCAATTTTCACTTTCACACAAAAAATTTTCACTTTCACTGCCTTCACAAGTTTCAATTTCACCCAAAAATGTTCACTTTCACTCAAAAAATTTTCACTTTCACTTACACTTCAAAAATTTTTAAATCTCGTCCAAAAACTTCTTACTTTTAATTTTACACTTTTCTCTCTTTCATTCAAAAAGTGAATTAAAAAGTAAACTTCACTTTCACTTTAATTCAAAGAATTTTCATTTTTAATTTCACCCAAAGAATTCTTTAGGTGAAATTAAAAAATTTTTTTAATGAAAATAAAAGTGACAATTTATTTTTAGTGAAAGTGAAAACTTTTCAGGTGAAATTAAGAGTGAAACTCTTATGAGTGAAAATGAGAATTCTTTGAGTGTAAGTGAAAAATTTTTTAATAAAGAAAGTTAAAATTTTTTCAATGAAAATGAGAATTTTTTTAGTGAATATGAAAAATTTTTGTGTGAAAGTGAAAATTTTTTGGGTGAAATTGAAGGTGTACATTTTTCAGTTAAAGTCAAAGTGAGAATATTTTGAGTAAAAGTAAAAATCATTTGAATGACATTCAATGTAAAAACATTCACTTTCACTCAAAAAATTTTCGCTTTCAATTTCATTCAAAAAATTTTTACTCTCAATTTAACCAAAAAAAATTTTTACTTTTAATTTCACAAAAAAAAATGTTCACTTTCATGCAAAAAACTTTCACTTTAAATTACATCTAAAATATTTTCACTTTCACACAAAAAATTTTCACTTCCACTCAAAAAAAAAAAAAAAAATTCTCACCTACAATTTCGCCAAAAAACATTTCACTTTCAATAAAAAAATTTTCGTGTGAAATTGCAAGTGGAATTGTTTTTATAGAAAGTGAAAGTTAAAAAATTTTTAGTTAAGGCGAAAATATTTTTCATTAAATTCAAGGTGAAAATTTTTGCGTGAAAGTGAAAATTTCTTTGATGAAATTGAAAGTCAAAACCAGTATAAGTGAAATTGAAAATGAAAATTTGTTGACAAAATTGAAATAAAAAATCTTTTAAAACTGAAAATTCTTTGGGTGAAATTCTGAGTGGAAATTTTTTCACAGAAAGTGAAAGTTTTTTGGGTGAAATTGAAAATTTTTTAATTGACAATAAAAGTGAAAATTTTTTGGTGAATGTGAAAATATTTTTTTGGGTGAAATTGAAAATGTTTTGATTAAAAGTAAGAATTTTTTGAGTGGAGGTGAATATTTTTTGCATTAAACTGAAATTTTTGCTTGAAATTGAAAATTTCTTTGATGAAATTGAAAGTGAATATATTTTGGGTGAAATTGAAAATTTGTTGGCAAAAATCAAATTAAGAATCTAAGTGAAAATTCTTTGGGTGAAATTCTAAATGGAAATTTTTTCACAGAAAGTGAAAGTATTTTGGGTGAAATTGAAAGAGAATTTTTTTAATTGAAAGTAAAAGTGGAAATTTTTTTTGGTGAAAGTGGAAATATTTTATTGGGGGAAATTGAAAACGTTTTGATTGATAATGAGAATTTTTGAGTGGATGTAAAAATTTTTTGCTTTAAAGTAAAAATTTTCTGAGTGAAAGTAGAAATTTTTGCGTGAAAGTGAAAATTTCTTTGATGAAATTGAAAGTGAAAATTTTTTGGGTGAAATTTGAAAATAAAAATTCGTTGGCAAAATTGAAATTAAGAATCATTTAAAAGTGAAAATTTCTTTGATGAAATTAAAAATTTTTTGGGTGTATTTGAAGGTAAAAATTATTTGAGTAAAAGTTACGTGAACGCATTTGAAAAAAATAAAGATTGAGAAATAAATAAGTCTATCATTTTTAAATATAATAAAAACATAAAAACCAAATAATGTGTAAATTAGTAATTATATTTATAAAAGAATAAACATTACATAAGGATAAATATTATTGTTATTCAAAACATAAAAAAAATGTTGAGGTAGATTAGGAATTCTATTTTTAAAGCAGGAAACTAGACGTTGATAATTATTTATTAAGAAAGTATAGTAAAGATAGTGGTGACAAACAGTTTTTCCCATTACGTCACTGAAGCGGTCACTAATTATATGTTAAGTATTTTATAGAATATTTAGAAAAAAAAATTGTTAGCATTCTAATTGGAACTTAGTCAAATAAAGAGGATTAATTTTTTTCTCTACTATTTACAAGTCTCGTAAAATATTACGTTACAATTTAAGTGAATGGAGTAAGAGAAGGTCGTTGCCATTCAGTGCATCCAATGATGTCATTTAAAAATCATTTTTATTATTTCATAAATCCTGCAATGACGATTTATTTATAACGAGACTGTGTTTGTACACTATCGTTCCAATTCAGGTATTACATAGTAAAATTATCATCAAGCAAAAGCAAAGACTTTTAATCCTCTAATCTAAACAGAACATGTAAAGTCATTCACCTCCCGACATTCGAGTCAGATGTAAAAATTGTTTTTCGATGTTTCTCCAGTGCATTGAAAATTAAAAAAAAATATTATGTTTTTATAAGAATGAATAAAAAAAATTTCCTTTACTTTATATGGACCTGACTGCAAAACTTGAATAAAAAAAAATTGTTTACAGCTGCAAAAGCTGAGAATAAATTAAACTTATCTCGTGGGGGTGATTACAATTTAATCTTTTCCAAATATAAATTGTATTTATCAACAAGGATATCCTAAAAAATATCTAAATTTGTAACTGTTTAATTTATTTTGCCTGCGTTTTTATTTTTTTAAAGACGTCATATAATGTCATCAGATATGATTTTAAAACCTTGATTTTATATAAACAATTCTTTTCTTTTCTAAATTATTATACACGTGACATTTGCAATCTTGACGAAAGTCGTCAAGTAAGTTGGTAAATTAACCTCAGTATATACATTTTTGCATAAACGATTTGCACTTCATCTTGACTGTAATAAAATAAATCCTACAATTTTGTTCTCTTCTTTGTTATTGGAAGCTTTACCAAGCAGTTTGCAAATTCTCTTATCACAAGGAAAAGTTATTGTTGAAACAATGTAAATTTTTATTTAGATAATTGAAAATGCTTTATTATACTACAATTTCAGAAAATATCCATATAAATAAAATAACGCACTTCTGTCTCTCAATTGTTTAAATCTTCGAAATCCTAACATAAATAGTAGTTATGAACATTAAAGATTCTAAAAGTGACGATAGAAAATTTCATGTATGCAATTATGCATAAATTTATGTCTGTTGTAAAACTTTACTCAAATCACATAAAAACAAGTTAACAGATTTCAGTCAAATTTGGAAGAGAATTAGGTATTGACCTAAGGAAGGTTTATGAATTTTTCTAAATTCAAAAATTTAGGCGTTTTCATCAATTTTGAGCTTTCTTTATTAAAGAAGAGCTTTTTCAAAACACAAAGTTATTGGTTAATCGTGAGGTATTAAAAAGTGTTGCAGATTAAATTAACACCAAAAAAGATTCAAAAAATCAATTGTTATTTTTTACAATGAATGAAATTTTGGTTCTTTAAATTTTTTTTATAACTATAAAACATAAGATATTCTACAAGAAATTAATTATTTAAATGCAAAAGTAAATAATTTATTGAATAATTGAATATTTTTCAAAATTCAATTTTCATGAAAAATTTTAGTATTTTAAATACTTGAATTCTTTTGTCGAATTTTATTAAAACTTGCATGAACATAATTACTTTTTTCAAGGAATTCAATTATAATTGTATGAAAAATAATTGAAACGCTGCGACGAGTTTTATGAGAATTTTCAAATTCATTCGTTTACAATTCAATTTTACAAAATTTCAATTATTCGGGAATTCTGCAATTAAATATTATATTGAAAACTAAAAACTTAAAATAATTTCAATAAAAATCATATTAAACTTTTAAAAAGAATTAATAAAAAATGTAAAACGATGCAACTCACGGTAGAGTTTCTTTTTATCATACAAATAAAAGTTATACTCTTAAATATATTTGTATAAAAAATGTGTCGAAGGCACTTCTTTTATCAAAAATTGTCAAAATTTCGAAAAACCGAATTTCTTAAAATTCAACATTTTTTCTTCTCTTTTATGGCATTTAGCTTCACTATTTTTGTGCTCTTTAAAAGTACTTTACTTAGTTATTAGTCTCCACCCTTTGGTAAAAAATAAAAAATTATCCAAAATTATCAAAATTTCGAAAAACCGAATATTTTAAAATTCAACATTTTTTCTTCTCTTTTATGGCATTTAGCTTCACTATTTTTGTGCTCTTCAAAAATACTTTACTTAGTTATTAGTCTCCACCCTTTGGTAAAAAATTAAAAATGATCAAAAATTGTCAAAATTTCGAAAAACCGAATTTCTTAAAATTCAACATTTTTTCTTCTCTTTTATGGCATTTAGCTTCACTATTTTTGTGCTCTTTAAAAGTACTTTACTTAGTTATTAGTCTCCACCCTTTGGTAAAAAATAAAAAATTATCCAAAATTATCAAAATTTCGAAAAACCGAATATTTTAAAATTCAACATTTTTTCTTCTCTTTTATGGCATTTAGCTTCACTATTTTTGTGCTCTTCAAAAATACTTTACTTAGTTATTAGTCTCCACCCTTTGGTAAAAAATCAAAAATTATCAAAAATTGTCAAAATTTCGAAAAACCGAATTTCTTAAAATTTGACATTTTTTCTTCTCTTTTATGGCATTTAGCTTCATTATTTTTGTCTAATGTAAAAAATTTCTTACTTTACATACTGATCTTTAAATAAAAAACTTTAATAACTTTTCCTGAACAGCTTGCTTAAAGATTAAAAATCACTATTTTTTTAGAAAAAAGTTGATCTAAAAAAATGAAAAAAAATTTCAAAATACGTCTTTTTAAAAATTTTATTGTAGAAATGGGTTGTATTTATCTGAAAAAGTTAGCTAAGGACAGTTTTGCATTCATTTTACAAAAAATAAAAAATTTGCATTTTTTTTATTTTTCGAATTTTTTTGGAAAAATGTCATAACTTTCGTTCAAGTTAATATTTTTTAATCGGATAAGGCTATGATTTTAAGTTACGTTAATACCTAATAGACTGCCAAGTTTAACTTTAATTGGTTAAACCGTTTTCGATTGATGCGCGAACAAAGTTTTGCAAACAGACAGACAGACAGAAATTTTTTTTTCTTTACATTTCTCGAATTCTAATGTCTCAAAACGAAAAAATATATAAAAATTCTCAAGCTTGGAGCAATGTACAGACAGAAGTCTGATTTTATTAATATAGATAATTGAATTATTGCGAAGAAATTTATAAAAAAATTTGTAAATAATTGAATTCCTGTAAAAATTTGTATTATTTATGAAAATAATAATTAAATATTTGTGTAGAATTTTATTCAAATTTTTCTTAATTACGGAATTCTTTTGGAGAATTTTATTAAAATAGTAGATATTGAAAATCATTGAATTTTAGAAAACTTCTGAAAATAATTGAAATTTTGACAAGAATTTGATTAAAATTTTGTAAAATAATTGCGAATATCAGAGAAAAATTTTATTATTTATAAAGAGAATTGAAATTTTGACGAGAATGTTTTAAAATTTGTGAAAAATAATTGAATTATTGCAAAGAAATTTATGAAAAAATTTGTAAATAATTGAATTCCTGTAAAAAATTTTGTTATTTTTGAAAATAATTGAATGTTTGCGTAGAATTTTATTTCAATTTTGTTCAATAATGAAATTCTTTTGGAAAATTTTATTGAAATAGTGAATATGAAATCACTTTTAAAAAATTTAAGATAGCGGAACCAATATTGAGGACGCTATGTATTTTTTTTTTACCTCTGGAGTAGAAAATTGAAAATTATATTTTTAAACTATTTTTTAGATGTTTGATTGATTATTATCACATGGCACATATTGGAAATAATATTTCAAAATATTAATATTTAAAATATCTGTATGTATAAATTTATAAATCATTTATAAATTTTATCAATTTTAAACAAGTTTCAATCAATATAAACTTTAAAGACAAAAGTTGGCAGGTACTAAAATAAACTAATTTTAAATAACGTTCTAAATGAAAATAACGTCTAATTTCTAGTTAATTGAAAAAGTTTGTTTTTCTAAAGTGGTCTATTTCTAAAAAAAACTTTCTAAAACTTATCATTTCAGAGACTCAACTCTATATATATCTAATGTATATACTATATAGTGTTACTTTTTTCTCAAAAATATTATTTATGGGGTATTTTTACTTAAAAAAAAAAAAATATATTGTTTACATTTTTATAACGCGCTTTTAAATAATTTGAAAGTATTGAAAAAAGTTAAAACCCTTTATGAAATAAAAGTTTGAAAAATGCATGACGCGTTCTTCTAAAATATCTGATGCTACTATGCCCGCATAGAAATTCATATGAATTATTCTCCAGTGCCTGGGGATCCCACATAATGATCGAGGCCACAATTTAATCACACTTTACGTTTCTGTCACGTATTCACATATAAAGTTCTTGTTTATAATTATTTATACCAATTTATACACAATCTTGTGACTATGCCTTTCCTATGTATAAAACATGTTACAAATATTTTTTTTCAAAAATAATTTTGTTCTTTTTTGCATTTTATCCGTTTTTAACAATTTTTTCATATTATATAAATATGTAAATTCTAAATTATAGTAATTAGAGTAATTTACTAAATAAAATTGTTTAAAAAATTGTTTCATAAAATTTAAATAGTTAATTAATAATAAGTAATATTTGATAATTAATAATACTAATTATTATAAGTTTTGTTACATTTTATTAAATTTGGAAAAGAAGTGAATTTTAGTGGTAGATAAATGGTGACTGAGTTATCAACGACGGTAGTGATTCTATGGTTGCTTTTAATTTTTGATTGGCAAAGACTCTTAAGTTCTTTAAAGTTATGTGACCCAGTTTATCACTAACGAGTTTACCATCGATCAAACAAGACTTGCGGACAAATTTTGAACACCGCATTGTCATTGTCTTTCTTCTAAGACGTATTCAGTAATGCATGGCATCTTGTTTAAATCATAAGAAATTCGATTAGCGCGCACTTTTTTTCGTTGATTAGTGTCTCGATTCAAATGAACTTCGATAAGCGATTAAGAATCGTTTATCGACCACGAAATAAAGAAATTTCAAAAAGTGAGTGATGAAAAGAAAAATTAGATCATGCGCTAGTAAAATAAATTACTAAGATTTTAATTATTTTTCACCAACTTTTTTTTAATTTAAAAATTTATCATTTTCTTACAGAGTGGTAAAAAAATAATTAATAGCGAATTAATTTTTGAAAAGCAATCAATAAAAAAGTAAATTAATAAAATGTTATTACAAATTTTATTCTTTTACGTTTTGATGTTGACTTAAGCTTTCTTCTCAAAGCATGTATTCAATATTAGAATAATATTGTAAAAAATGCAATTAAAGATAATTTATTTTTTTATAAATAAGTATAAATAATGCTTTTTATAGAAATAATATGTGGACTAATACTTTACACTTTGAAAAAGATTTGATTTTTTTCGCATTACCGGAATGTTTGATGTTTAGCATTGAGGACAACTTTATTGAGTTCATCAGTCATAGGTTTAAAAAAATTTTAATTTTTTACTTTATTGTTGTGTTTAAAGACTCTTTTTATTTAAGAAATCTTTAAAGTGTAGCAATATTATTAAGTTTACAGTCAAAAGGGAAATTCCGTTTTGCTTACAAAGTATGAGCAATCAGATTTTTATTAAGGAAATGGCAATGTTATCTTCTATTTAATAATCGCATACACATTAACATTAATATGGAAAATTATAGTCCAATATCAATATAATTAAGTGCATTATCTATAAAATATTTGAAAAAATATTTGAAAAAATATTTTTTATTATCTAACGACCAATTTTGAAATCGGTAATCAGATTTTGGACAATTGCACTGAATTATTCAATTTTGCACGGTTTGTGACTAAAAATGCTCGGACGTTTATAATATCTCCCGAACCGAATAAGATTTTTTAACTTTTTTTGGTTTTAAATTAAAGATCAGAATTTTAGCTTAAATACCAATTTAATAATTTATTGGAAAAGTGTTCGTTAAGTAAATGGAATGAGGGAATTATCAAAAAGCTGAAATTAATGCTTATTAGTCAGAAGTTTATAAGTAATTTTAAATCCTCACCTTTCATAATGAATTTTCGATGCCTTTAAATTTTCCATTTTTTCCTTCAGCAAATACTTTTTTGCTCCTATTATACAATTCCTGTAAATATTCAATATTTACAATCAATACAAATTTTTCTGTTTTTAAAATTTTAAAATTTTTGTTTTAACCAAGTTAAATTATAGATAAAACAATTTCGAATGAAAAATTAAATAATTTATTGTCTTGCCTAAAGTATTCACTAATGTCTAAGGAAAAATATGCATATCCAAAATCAGCTACATCATTAGGTGGTAAATTTTCTAAAAGATCCAAAAAATTTTTATTCTTGAATTTCCACACATTCATTAGGAAATATTCCAAAGAGCTAATGGCGTTATATACTTTTCTTTGAATTCGCACCAACCTGGAAAAGAAATTTTAATAAAATTGTCATATATATAGATAAATATGAGAAGTAATATACTCTGCGTAAGAGATTAAAAATAAATTCTTACATAGGCTTCTTTCCTGCTGCTTTTAATAGACCGTCAATAAAATAAGCAGGTAATAAATGATAAATTAACATCATAAGATAAAATAGTGTTTTATCTTTAACAATGGTGACACTAGGAAACCATAGAACTCCATCCAGAGGTATTTCCTTATTAACTTTAAGACCCATTTCAATCACTTCGCTTGTACTTACGGCCTTAACGTCAGCTGAACAACAATTGTAGACATGGATGCTGGAGTCCCTTGTTATCCTGAAATAATTAATATTAATATTAATATTAATAATAATAATTCCTAGTCAGTTAGCTAACTGACGAATTTACTCAGGTCAGAACTAATTTTTTGGTACAAATTTACTTTTCTGGCTTTCACTAGTAAAAGAAAGATTTTAGTGGCCAGCTTGAAACTTATTATCTGTTTTTAATAATAAATTCGATTGTTAGTGATATAATAATATAAAAATAGAAAAATCAATCTTACGTCTGAAGACCTCTCTTCCAAGAAGCAATTATCATTGCTTTTATTGCAACGTCAACAGGAATAAAATCTGAGATAATTTTACTGTCTAAACGAATAACTCTTAATACTCCTTTTCCACCTCCAACCAGCATTCCTACTGGGCCATTAAAATTATCAATCCACCCTTCGACAGGTTCGACAAGTGATGATATAACTGAAAGTAATAATTAGAGAGCAATTAATGTATTACAAACTACTTTACTTAAAAAGAATCTTGTTAATAATTCAGAGTTGCCACAGGTCAGGGAAGACAGGGAAATCAGGGAAAAGTCAGGGAAAGTAAAATTTTTTTTAATTTTTCAAAAACTATCATAAAATTATGACTTACAAATTATTTTATAAATAATTTTAATAATTAATTAATAATTAATTTATTTTTTATTAATAATTTTCATAAATACCAGATTGATAGAAGAATTTCAGTTAAAAATACTAAAAAAAAAATTGGATTTTGGAAAAGTTACAAATAATTACAGAAATTCAATTATTTTCAAAAGTTACAAAAATTCTTCGCAAAATTTCAATTATGTTCAGAAAATTAAAAAAAAATTCTCGTCAAAATTTCAATTATCTTTATAAATAATAAAATTCATCATCGAAATTCAATTATTTTTAAAAATTTTGAATAAAATTCTTGTCAAAATTCCACAAGAATTCAATTATTCAATATTTAATAAATTTCTTTGAAATAATTCAATTATTTTCATAAGTAATAAAATTTTCACAGGAATTCAATTATTTAAAATACAAAATTTAATAAAATTTTTCGAAAAATATCAATTTCATAAAAAGATTTTTATAAAATATTTTCATGAATTCAATTATTTTTATAAATAATAAAATTCTTCACCGAAATTCAATTGCTTTTATAAACTTGAATAAAATTCGTTGTAAGAATTCAATTATTTATATAAACTTGAATAAAATTCGTTGGAAGAATTAAATTATTTTCAAAATAATAAAATTCTTCGCAGAAATTCAATTATGTTCAAAAATTAAAAAAAAAATCCTCGTCAAAATTTCAATTATCTTTATAAATAATAAAATTCTTCGCAGAAATTCAATTATATTTAAGAATTTTAATAAAATTCTTATCAAAATTTCGTAGGAATTCAATTATTCAATTTTTAATAAATCAATTCAAAATAATTCCATTATTTTCATAAGTAATAAAATTTTCACAGGAATTCAATTAGTTAAAATAAAAAATTTCATAAAATTTTTCGAAAGTTATCAATTATTTAAAAATATTTTTATAAAATTCGTCGCAAGAATTTAATTATTTAAAAAAAATGTAGCATAGTTCTTTTTAAGAATTCAATTATTTTTATAAATAATAAAATTTATTCGCCAAAATTCAATTATTTTTATAAACTTGAATAAAATTCGTTGTAAGAATTCAATTATTTATATAAATAATAAAATTTTTCTCTGACATTCAATTATTTTATGAAAATTTTAATTATTTAATTAATTATTATTTTTATGAATTACTTTTTATAGAATATTTTAATCAAATTCCTCGATAAATGTAATTATTTTTAAAAATTTTATTAAAATTTGTCAAACGAATTCAATTATTTAAAATTTTATTGATAAAATTCTTTATGAGAATTCAATTTTAACAAACATTCAAATATTCAATAAATTATTTATTTTTTAATTTAAATAATTGAATTTTTTTTAAAATTTTCTAAAAAAAAGTTGATTTAAAAATGAATAAACGAATAATCGATTTATTATTATTTATAAAAATAATTGAATTATTGCAACGAATTTTATTAATTTTTTTTTAAATAATTGAATTTTTTTGTGAAATTGTACTTCTTGTAAAAATAATTGAATTCTTGCGAAGGATTTTTGTAAATAATTAACTTATTTTAAAAAATTTTATGTCAATTTAATTTATTTTTTTATTTAATTTTATGTAAATTTTTAATTTTATTTTTTTTTTCAATTTTATGTCAATTTTTATTTTTATGTCAATTTTTATGTCAATTTATTTTATTTTAACTTTTTTTTCATTTATTTTTTTTTTTTATTTTTAATTTTTAAAATTTTATGTCAATTTAATTTTTTAATTTTATTTAATTTATTTTTTATTTTTAATTTAATTGATTTATTTTTCAATTTACTCCGAGTCGAAGACTCGGAGTGATCGTCTTCTTCATGTTTTGCAATAATATTCTTATAAGTTGTTGAATTTCAAAAAGGTTTAAATTTGAATATTTTGAAGAATTTTAATCCCTACAGAAAAAGAATAATGATTAAATATTTATTTAAGAAAGAAGTTATTGATATTTTTAAATAATTTTACAATTAAAGAAGTTTGTAAATAAATGTAATAGAACATTTTTTTTTGGGTATCTAATAATTTTTAGAGTGAATCAGAATATTCTTTAGGGTCAGGGAAAAAGTGAAATTTTTTTCTTAAAATCAGGGAAAAGTCAGGGAAAAATAAAATTAAATATTTGTGGCAACCCTGTAATTTGTAACATTTGAATAACAAAATTCATTAAATAATTAAGGTACCAGGTATTAATTTAAGATTAAATTAACCTCACCTATTGATGGTCTAAATATAACAGATGGTATGGTTGACGAATAGTCACTTATCACTTGTTCAGCGAGTCTTTTTGTAAAAGTATAAGTATTTGGAAAACTATCCATGTATCTAAATAAGTATTTGCAGAGTTAAAATAGTATGTCACCTGACAATGAATATTATTCAAAAATCAGACAGTATTTGAATTATTTGGTTACCTTTCATATTATGCAACAAAGGCGTATTATGGCCACTCTATGCTACCTGTGCCCTAGGGTTATAATGGGTACTTTATTGGCCTAGGGTAATAATGGGTACTTTATAGCCCTAGGGCAATAATGGGCACTTTATTGACCTAGCGTAATAATGGGTGCTTATCTAGGGCAATAAAGGGCATTTTAATGACCTAGGGTAATAATGGGTTCTTTATAGCCCTAGGGCAATAATGGGCACTTTATTGACTCCTGGGTTATAAGGGGGAACTTAGTATGCGCCTGTATAAGTAGATAAAGTGACCATAATACGCCTGAGTTGCATAAAAATTATTTTAATCTAATTAAATATCGTTTCTTAAAGTAACTTAATTTAGTGACTTTTAAAAAATAGTTTAATTTAATTTAATGTTAAATTGTCTGAATTAAATTATTTACTTTGGTGTCAGGGTTCGTAACACATGATCGTCAACATTTTCAGCTATTCTTATTGTCTTCTTCCAATCCACGTTAATGGGATAAATTTTCTCTTCCACACATGGTTTATCTGCTTGCGAGTAACTTGTACTGACGTGTACAAGAGCCTGTAATAAAAATCACTTTTAATACACTTTTAATACTTTTTAAAATTTCTTTCAAAAAATCAATTATTTTCAATCTATAAATTTTGAGGAAAATAAAAATTTATTTCCACATCAAACAAACAATTACACTGCAGTTGAAAAAAAAGCTTTAATTAATGTGTGAATCATGTTTCAGTACGATTTCCAGTTATTGTCAATGGCTTGTAAACAATGATTTGTTAATACTTTATCTAATTACAATGAAATATGAATTATTTATTTGAATATTAGTTTGAGGTGATCGTTGAACTCAAAATGTTTTGAAAACTAAATGCCCTGTCATAGATAAACATCAAGAGAAATAAAAGTGATAGAGAAATTAATAGAACAAAAGTTGTTGGTATCGTATCAAAGTCTAGTTGATTCAGCTTTATTTTTATATTTTAATGAATTCAATAATGATTCATTAAATTTTAGAGAAATTTTTATTCGCATCTAAACTTCTGGTACACTCTGTACATTTAGTATCTTTGAAGACAGATATTTTTTACGCAAGAAGGTTTTACATGTATTCAACTTTTTATGTCTGGAAGTGAGAATTCATAAATTACACTTCCAATATATTATTAATTGAGCAGTTGACCTAATAATATGGCAATATTTATTTACTGTTCAGTGTTCACTTGTTCTACAAACTGTGGAGAACGTGAAAATTGATGTCATGAGTATATTAGAATTTATTTTTCCTTATAGAATTTATTTATTTATTTATATTCTTTTTTACGTTTAATTAGTGTTATTTATAACAAATTTAGTTCGAATTAGGTCATTAAGGAATTGTATTAGTTTATTATCATTAACTTAAATATGGTTATTTCAATAAAAGTGAAATACATTAAAGAAATTAAAGGACTAAAACCATTTGCAAGGAAACTTAACTCTACTTTTATATTATTGATCAACATGTTAATATTAATTGGTAAAGTGGTTATACGGTTATAGGAACAAAAATTAAAATTCTATTGGCAAGTAATGCAGAAAATTAAAAAATTTTTATGCTGAAACGTACCACGAGTTTTTTCATTTGAGATCCTAAAATACAAACATCTCTGGCTGATCTTGTATTTACAAAGGTTGCATTTTTTAGACTGTCATCAAATCTTACATTTGCAGCGACATGAAATATAACTGACACTTTTTCGACAAGAACTTTTCTTTCCAAAGGAGGAAGTCCCAATGACTCAGCTGCTACATCTCCTGTTATTGGAATTAATTTGTCTGCAAAGTTTGGCCTTTCCTTTCGTATTCTATCAAAAAGCTAAAAGGCAATTTAAATAAATTCAAATATTAGTTTTTATTCGACTAGTTAACGGAATATTTTACATTAGAGTAGAATACTTTTGTTTTCAGAGGACTCTTCTTGAGAAACTTTTTTTTTTTTTTGAGAGAGAAGAGGACTTTTTCTCCTAATAAAACATTACTTTTCCTGGGTGCATCATTAGAATTTTTTTTTTTAAATCGTAAACTGATTTAAAAATTATTAATAGTCATTAGAAGCCTCATCTTATATAAGTTTCTTAAAAATAATGTTATATTTATTAATATCGAAGAGGTTCTTACAGGTATTGAAAGCATTATTCGAAGACGATCGTCAATTGAAATTCCTTTCTTCGGTCTCATTAGCAAGAAAATGTTTTCTATGTCAGGACAGGATCTTAATAACTTTTCGATGAGCACCTTACCCATAAATCCTGTTGCTCCCGTAATAAAAATACTCCTTCCGACATAGAACGTCGGAATTGAGTTTTCGGGTTTTAACGTAGCGACACTCATCTATTGAAACAAGTATCTTTATTATTTCTCAACTTGTAATTTACCACAACATACGATACGGAGAATTCAATATACGGATCGAGTAACCATCGGATCGTTTAAAATTTTCAATTTTTATGTTTAAAACTCATCAATTTAATATTTTACGATAAAATGCTTTACCTTGTATTAATTGAGTACAATATTTTACAAAAAAAAAAAACTTAAATCCACAACATAGAAAATCACTGCACTTAAAAACTACACACGTGATCTTAACGAAGGCACATCATGAAATGAACTTTTAATTTTTCAAATGCAGGATATGACGTTTGATTTTCATTTAAATAGAATTAGCTTCTAGGTTAACGGCCAAACTTGTCCATATTTATAAATATATATTTACATGTAAATTGCCTTATGTATTTAAAATTCTTCAATAATGTATAAAAATTTTTATTTGAATCGACTTTATGTACATATCTACATTTATATCTACAACTTACACATCTAGGTCTTACATATCTACATATTTTTTTAATTTATTTATAATATAAAATGTACTAAACCTTAATAATTATTTTACTATTTTAATCAAAAAAAACATCAGTGATTTTTAGTTTATTTACAATAACAGAAATTACAGATAATTTATTTGACATTTATTACATCAAATAAGTTAAATAAAAATTTTTTCTGAATATTTTTATAATTGCATGTGAAAAATAGTTTTTAAAAAATTATATAATTAATCATTACACTAGTTTACAAAAATAAAATAATTTTCTGATCCGTGGCATTTCAGAGTAATTTTTTATGTAAAATTTGCTCCCGAATCCGAATATACCTTAAAAAAAATGAAATTGTTTTGTAACAGTTGCATAACAACATTTACTGGGAAGTCCGTCATTCTTAATGGTCCAGATTTAATGTACAAATTGTTGACTCTTTTTTTGAGTATGTTTCTTGATAAAATGCTTTGTGTTACGATTAATAAAAAGCCTTTAATCATTCCCAAATATATACTCTTATGATTCCTTTTACATCACAGAATACACTAAAAAATTATACAAGGTCAGATTATATAACAATTCCTGTTTTGTTTGGGAATATTTTTGAAAATTAATTTTACGTATAATTGTACAAATATGATTTAAAATAAGCTTTCTACAATTTTTCAAAAAGTTTCATAGAAATTAAAATTACAAAAAAAATCTAATTACATAAAAAAAATTATTGACAAAATTTAAATTTAAAAATTTTTTTATTTAAGTACATTTTATATTACTTTTAATGTTTATTTCGCACATAATATTTAACCCTTTCTATTGTTTTTTGTTGCAGTGAAAAATTATCCGAAAAACGTCATCACTTCAACAAGGAAATTTGATTGTTATTATTTATTATCGAAGCCAAAAAAGGGTAAATATTTAAAGAACTAGAATTTTGCGAGCTTTATTTTCGAAAATGAATAATTTCACAATTAGCGAATTTTCGAGTAGCTGAAACACTAAAAATTTAGTCTCTTTATTTTGTGGTTAATTGCCATGCAAATTAGAAAAAATATTTGAATTTTGTTCGTTTATTTTACAACCTCATCACGATGAAGATAATTATTAATATTATTTAATTTGAAATTAAATTCATTTAATCTTTCACGCAAAAATTAGTTAAAAATTAAATATGAATTATGATTGAAATATTGATTCGGAAACCTGTTTATGAAAATATTCAACAGAGAAATTAGTCGTAAAACTGATTATAGAAATCGGTTTTGGAACAAAAAATATAAAAGGTGAAATCTTTTTTAAAGATAAAGGGTAAAATTAATTATAAAAAGTTAAAATATCGTTTAAAACAGTAGTTTTTCTATTTGACTGAATTTCGTGATTTTTATTGTCAGCCATAAAGAACAGATGTGCCTTAAAATTAGTTTTTAATAATAATAATAATAGAATTTTTGTTCCTCTTTTTCAAAGTGTAGATTTATAAATAAGTCTGGTACACTACGCACCAAAGATTTTTTTTGCATAATTTGTAATTATGTAGATAGATTAATGAAAGAAAATATTTACTCAGGTGAAAACTTGATATTTTTATATGTCAAAACTTCTAGAAATACACATTGATGTACATACGAATCTTAAACATATTCTATAAAAAAAACTCTTCTATTGTAAAAATTAAAGAAAATTGTGTCACAAATATTTTCCACTTGGATAGTTGTTAAATAAAAATGCTCAATAAAATTCTCATTTAATTTTCTTTTACTATTAGCCTTATTATTGTGAATTATTTATACAATTGTAATAAACATTGCATAGTTTAGGTCACTGCTGTAAATCAATAAATATTTGTGCTTTATCTTAAATTTATTTCTTCTATAATCCCTGTTGAAGTTTCAAAATTAAGCTGAAATATTATGGAAATGTCTTAATTTATAAAATAGTTTTCTTATTTGGTTTCCTTTGTTTTAACATTAAAAAAAAAAAAAAATTTCTATTGTAACATCACAGTAAATCGTGAGGTATTAAAAAGTGTTACAGATTAAATTAACAGCAAAAAAGATTTAAAATTTAAATAATCAATTTTGGTGTTATTTTTTACAATGAATAGAATTTTAGTTCATTAAATTTTGTTATAAGTATAAAACATGAAGATATCGATAACTCCGAGTCTTCGACTCGGAGTCATCGATTTCTTCATATTTTATAATAATTAAAGCTGACCAAGTAATAAAATCAATATTTTATATTATAAGAATATTATACTTCTTCAACATTATTTTCATTATTTCAATTCAATTATTATTTTCAAAAATTTTTTTAACTACCTACAATTTTAATTTATATCTATTATTTTTAATAATTTTCAAAAAAGTTCTTTGGCAATTTTCAAATCCATTTCTTTACAATATTCAATTTCACGAAATTTCAATTATTCCTAAATTCTTTAATTAAATGCATATTAGAAATGAAAATAAATTTTTATTAGAAAATTTTACAAGAATTTAATTATTTAAATGCAAAAGTAAATAATTTATTGAATAATTGAATGTTTCTCAAAATTCAATCCTCATAAAGAATTTTAGTAACAAATTTTTAAATAATTGAATTCTTTTGTCGAATTTTTGTTAAAACTTGCATGAACATAATTACTTTTTTCAAGGAATTCAATTATAATGTATGAAAAATAATTGAAACGCTGCGATGAGTTTTATGAGAATTTTCAAATTCATTCGTTTACAATTCAATTTTACAAAATTTCAATTATTCGGAAATTCTGCAATTAAATATTATATTGAAAAATAAAAACTTGAAATAATTTCAATAAAAATCCTATTAAACTTTAAAAAAAAAAATTAATTCTACAGAATTTTTTGTCAAAAATATGAAAAATTAAGAATTTCAATGATTTTAGTTTAAAACTTTTTGAAAATTTAATTATTTCTAAAAAATCATCGTTATAATGCTTTAAATATTTAATTATAATCTAAAATTTTAACTGAAATTAATTTTTCAAAACTATTTTTATTAGTAAATTCTACGAGAATTTAACTATTTAAATACAAAAATAAATAATTTATTAATTTCATGTTTCTTGAAATTAAATTCTCATAAGAAATGTTATCAACAAATTTTTTAAATCATTAAATTCTTTGGACGAATTATAATAAAATTTTTAAGAATAATTGCATTTTTCGAGGAATTCGATTAAAATTGCATTAAAAATAATTGGAATTCTGCAATGAGTTTTATTATTTATGAAAATAATTAATTGTATTCCTAAAAGAATTTTATTATTTTATAAGAATAATTAAATCCCTGTAAAAATGTTATTATTTATGAAAATATTTGAATTATTGCGAAGAAATTTATAAAAAATTTGTAAATAATTGAATTCCTGTAAAAATTTTTATTATTTATGAAAATAATAAAATGTTTGCGTAGAATTTTATTCAAATTTTTTTGGAAAATTTTATTAAAACAGTAGATATTGAAAATCATTGAATTTTAGAAAACTTTTGAAAATAATTGAAATTTTGAAAAGAATTTGTTTAAAATTTTGTAAAATAATTGAAGTCTGGTACACTACGCACCAAAGATTTTTTTTGCATAATTTGTAATTATGTAGATAGATTAATGAAAGAAAATATTTACTCAGGTGAAAACTTGATATTTTTATATGTCAAAACTTCTAGAAATACACATTGATGTACATACGAATCTTAAACATATTCTATAAAAAAAACTCTTCTATTGTAAAAATTAAAGAAAATTGTGTCACAAATATTTTCCACTTGGATAGTTGTTAAATAAAAATGCTCAATAAAATTCTCATTTAATTTTCTTTTACTATTAGCCTTATTATTGTGAATTATTTATACAATTGTAATAAACATTGCATAGTTTAGGTCACTGCTGTAAATCAATAAATATTTGTGCTTTATCTTAAATTTATTTCTTCTATAATCCCTGTTGAAGTTTCAAAATTAAGCTGAAATATTATGGAAATGTCTTAATTTATAAAATAGTTTTCTTATTTGGTTTCCTTTGTTTTAACATTAAAAAAAAAAAAAAATTTCTATTGTAACATCACAGTAAATCGTGAGGTATTAAAAAGTGTTACAGATTAAATTAACAGCAAAAAAGATTTAAAATTTAAATAATCAATTTTGGTGTTATTTTTTACAATGAATAGAATTTTAGTTCATTAAATTTTGTTATAAGTATAAAACATGAAGATATCGATAACTCCGAGTCTTCGACTCGGAGTCATCGATTTCTTCATATTTTATAATAATTAAAGCTGACCAAGTAATAAAATCAATATTTTATATTATAAGAATATTATACTTCTTCAACATTATTTTCATTATTTCAATTCAATTATTATTTTCAAAAATTTTTTTAACTACCTACAATTTTAATTTATATCTATTATTTTTAATAATTTTCAAAAAAGTTCTTTGGCAATTTTCAAATCCATTTCTTTACAATATTCAATTTCACGAAATTTCAATTATTCCTAAATTCTTTAATTAAATGCATATTAGAAATGAAAATAAATTTTTATTAGAAAATTTTACAAGAATTTAATTATTTAAATGCAAAAGTAAATAATTTATTGAATAATTGAATGTTTCTCAAAATTCAATCCTCATAAAGAATTTTAGTAACAAATTTTTAAATAATTGAATTCTTTTGTCGAATTTTTGTTAAAACTTGCATGAACATAATTACTTTTTTCAAGGAATTCAATTATAATGTATGAAAAATAATTGAAACGCTGCGATGAGTTTTATGAGAATTTTCAAATTCATTCGTTTACAATTCAATTTTACAAAATTTCAATTATTCGGAAATTCTGCAATTAAATATTATATTGAAAAATAAAAACTTGAAATAATTTCAATAAAAATCCTATTAAACTTTAAAAAAAAAAATTAATTCTACAGAATTTTTTGTCAAAAATATGAAAAATTAAGAATTTCAATGATTTTAGTTTAAAACTTTTTGAAAATTTAATTATTTCTAAAAAATCATCGTTATAATGCTTTAAATATTTAATTATAATCTAAAATTTTAACTGAAATTAATTTTTCAAAACTATTTTTATTAGTAAATTCTACGAGAATTTAACTATTTAAATACAAAAATAAATAATTTATTAATTTCATGTTTCTTGAAATTAAATTCTCATAAGAAATGTTATCAACAAATTTTTTAAATCATTAAATTCTTTGGACGAATTATAATAAAATTTTTAAGAATAATTGCATTTTTCGAGGAATTCGATTAAAATTGCATTAAAAATAATTGGAATTCTGCAATGAGTTTTATTATTTATGAAAATAATTAATTGTATTCCTAAAAGAATTTTATTATTTTATAAGAATAATTAAATCCCTGTAAAAATGTTATTATTTATGAAAATATTTGAATTATTGCGAAGAAATTTATAAAAAATTTGTAAATAATTGAATTCCTGTAAAAATTTTTATTATTTATGAAAATAATAAAATGTTTGCGTAGAATTTTATTCAAATTTTTTTGGAAAATTTTATTAAAACAGTAGATATTGAAAATCATTGAATTTTAGAAAACTTTTGAAAATAATTGAAATTTTGAAAAGAATTTGTTTAAAATTTTGTAAAATAATTGAATATCAGAGAAGAATTTTACTATTTAGAAAGAAAATTAAAATTTTGACGAGAATTTTAAAAAAATTTTGAAAATGCTATTCTGAATTAATTGAATTCCTGTGGGAATTTATTGTTTATGAAAATAATTGAATTTTGCATGAATTTTATAAATTTTCTTTAAATAATTGAATTTTTTCGAAATTTTATGAAAATACTAAATGAATTTATGAGAATTATCAAATTCATTCGTTTAGAATTTAATTTTACAAAATTTCAATTATTCGGAAATTGTGCAATTAAATATATTATATAGAGAAATAAAAACTTCAAATATAATTTCAATGAAAATCGGATTAAACTTTAAAAAAGAATTCATTCTATAAAATTTGTTTTGTGAAAAATATAAAAAATTAAGAATTTGAATGATTTTATTAGTAAATTCTACGAGAATTCAATTATTTAAATACAAAAATAAATAATTTATGAATTTCATGTTTCTTGAAACTAAATTTTCATAAAAAATGTTATCAACAAATTTTTTAAATCATTCAATTCTTTGGGCGAATTTTAATAAAATTTTTAAGAATAATTACATTTTTCGATGAGTTTAATTAAAATTGCATTAAAAATAATTGAAATTCTGCAATGAGTTTTATTATTTATAAAAATAATTAATTAGTTGCTAATAAATTTATAAAAAAAATGTGTAAATAATTGAATTCTACTTGTAAAAATTGTTATTATTTATGAAAAGAATTGGAATGTTTGCGTAGAATTTTATTTAAATATTTTTTAATAATGGTTTACAAATCGTTGACTTTGGTGTTTTATTGAAAGTAAAATTTCATTCATAGTTAAAAATAACACCAAAATAGATTATTTTAATCCTTTCTGGTGTTAATTTAATCCTAGAGGGATTAAACTGTAGCAGATTATTTTAATCCATTCTGGTGTTATTTGAACACCTCACGTTTTACTGTGTATAAAGTTGACTAGTTTTAATCAAATAATTTCATTAATAATTAGATGGAGGTCAAACAGAATCTAGAGAAAGAAGAATCAAATTTAAATGTCCTTAGTGTCACTTCTGGAGAGATAGAAGATTCTCAATCTGATACTCTAGAAAGTTTAAAGCATCAGCCATCAAGAAATAAAATCCAAAAGTTGTTATTTATACATTTTTTTCATTTTTTTCCAAAGAGGAAATTTTTTTTTATTCACGTTTTTGAGAATTTTAGTTTCAGGGTGAAAAAAAATAAGAAAAAGAAGAAATACGTTACAGTAGGGAGTTTAAAAGATACGACGATTGAAGTAACTAAAGTAGAAGAAATTCTTTATGATGAATACGAGGATGATTCAGAGACTGAAAAATGGACCGACTTCATGAAAAATAGAAATCACATGGCAGAAATAGTGTAGCTTTAATTCTTTTCGTTTATATTTATGATTTCTGGTTCTAAATGACATAAAAATTACTCGAGCTATTACGATATCATCAGAACAGCAATTTTTAACTTCTTGGCTACATGCGGTACACAAAAGCAATTTCCGTGAATTTCTCCTTCATGCAAGGAGATCGATATAATCCTCGGAAATTGCTCGAGAGTGTTCCAAATATGAACTTTTTTTTGTGCCAATAAATGTGAGAAATTTTTTCCGAAAAAAAATTGTTTCTAAGAATTTAAAATTGATTTGTATGTTTGTAACTTATTTTACAAACATTTTTAACGAATTTTTAATTTATTACCCAATTTTAAAAACTACTTGTTTTTTCCAGTTGAAATTATGGAGAGAAATACAGGTAATAAAAGGTTAATAACTATTTTAGAAATTTTATTTTAATATAATTAACAGAAAATCAAAGAACTAAAATATTTACAAAACTTAAAGAATTTAATTTAATTAATTTAATTAATAAATGTAAGAATTTAATTAACAAATTTCACAATAATGTATTATTTATACTAAAGTAAAGCAGAAAGAAATTATCATCGGTGCTTTTCAATCTTAGGTACTGATTTTTCGCTTAGAGAATGAAAAAAAGATATACAAAGTTCTCTTTATTGCATCGATTTAGCCAGCGCTTAGAGCAGCGAAGAAAAAGAAAAAAAAGGCGAAAATGACAAAGAAAAAAAAGAAAGCAGCAGCAAAGGAAGAAGAGGGATCTCCTGCAGCCGAAGCGGAAAGACTCAAGTACTTAACCATTTTTTTAAAAAACACCAATTTTTACGTTGAAATTAATTTAGGTCGAAAATAACGTTCAAAAGTACCTTTAGATATAAGAAAACAAGTATTAAGGATCAAATTTTTTTTTTAAATTTATTTTCAAATTCTGAATATTTTTTAAATTTACAACAATTATCACAGGGGGGAACAATTAGTATTAAAGGATTCATGTTGATTTTCTTCGATTTCTGAAAAGTTTTATTTAACCTACGGTTCTCATCCCTATTTACCCTACTTTCTCCCCACTCACGAAGCTACTTACTACGTACCTTGGAGGTGTTAATTTCATGATCGGTTAGTTACAAGCCAGTTTCTATTCCCGAACGTTAAAGAACGTGAGAAAAAGTGTTAAATTTTTCCATTAAATCAATCATGAACGGATTTCCCTTAGAGGAAATAACTTTTTTTAAAAGTTATGCCGAAACTGATCGGGAAAAAATTAAACGCCAGGAGGAGCGGTTGGTTCACTTATTTTATTACCAAAAACTGAAAATTCGTTTCTTTACAAAAGTCATTCATTAACTACAAAAATTAATTCATTATAAATTACCCATAACTTATTTCTCTTTCATTTAAATATGTAAATTATTTTCAATTCGAATGATTTCCTAATTTTCGGAAGTATTTTAAGATAAATTTTTTTGATTAGGAATCAAATGATAAAGGATATGATCGAAGAAATTCGATTAGAAAAATTAAACAGTGAAAATCAAGTTGAATTAGAAGAAAAACAAAATACAATTAGAAGGATTCAATTGGAGGAAACTTTGCTTCTTATTGCTCAAAATAAAAAATCTTTCGACGATTATGTGTTGGAAGAAAAAGACATAGAAAACGTGAGTTTCAAAAAGAGAAAATATTTAAGATTATTAAATAGATATTTACAGTTTACGTTTGCTCCTGATAAATTAATTTTTTTAATATTTACAAAATAATTTAAGTGGCAGCAATATATGACATGTGATGGATTACCTGATCCGGGAATTTTGTCTGAATTAAACACATTTCTGTATTTATGGTCACTGGATGATGAGAATGCGAGTATGGAAACGATTTCCAAGCACTGTGAAATAATTATATATGTAAGTGCATTCGATTTTCAATCTTTTTATAAATCTTCTTTCTTTGAATAATTGCTCTGTTTAATTTACTTTTAATTATTTATCTGATTGTTTTGGAAATTGTTAAAAAAAAACATTTTCCTATTTTTTAACAGCTTCTGTCTAAACTAGAGGATAAAATAAAATTCTCAACAGAGAAACCTGAAATTTATGTAGCTGACTGTAAAACTGTAAGTTTTCTATATTTCATTATTAAAAAGTTTAAATAAATAATAATAGAAAATAAAATATTAAAAATGAATTAATAGTATAAATAATTAAAATAAAAACTTCCAATTTCAATAATTTTTGTTTTAATTGAATGTAAAAATGATTTTTAATCGAATTTAAAGTAACAAATAGCTTTTCCAAAAATATTGTAAATTTAGTTTTTCATAAATATGGTCATTTACAAAAGATAGTAAACGAATTTAGATTCGTCAAGAACTTCGAAATAAACTTCAATTTTGGATTGACGCAGCTACTTACAAACTTCTGCGACATATAGAGCAAGACATGTTGAGAGTAGACTTGCGAAATACTCGATTTATTCAGAAATCAATTCATCTTGTCTGCTGTATCTGGGCTCTAATTCGTTTGCCAATAAGCATTAAACAAATCGCTGAAAAGGACAGGTGACAATTTTTATTATTCACTGGAAATCGAAGTTTAATGTATTTAGTATTTAGTGTAAACAAATTTATTCCAGCTTATTTAATTTTTTATTTATTGCCCATGTATAGAAAATCAATAGAGGTAAATTTTGATGAAATCAACTTAACTGTAAAAATGCCGCCAGACATCGATTGCTATTCAATGGCTATTAGAGGACTTTGGTTAAATTATGATCATTATTCTGATTTGGGCATATCTTACACAATTCCCAATATTCCTGAAAAGTGTCAAATGAATATGGGTATTTTTTGCTTTTCTTGTTAATGTTTTAAATTTTTACATGACAATTTTTAGTTTCTTGTATTGGTAAAAATCATTAATAGAAAAATTGTCACACTAGATCTACTTGCCTACTGTGAATGTGAATTTAATACAAAGAATGAAATTCGAGAAGAGCAGAAAGATGGTAGACAGTTGAGATTAGAAGAGAAGAAACTGTTGCTTGAAAAACTAACTAATCCACCACCACCACCGCAAATAGTAAAATCGGAGAAAAAGAACAAAACTGGAAAGAAGACGGATTTTCAAAAATCTCACAAGAAACAAGAACCGGAACCTGATCCAGAACCTCTACCCTACTTACCAACTCCTGATGAAATTATAATTCAGTCTGAAGGTATTTTAATTAAATAATAATTTCTATATATTTACTTCATATGTCGTTGCCATTTAGGAGATTCTGATGGTTAGGATACAGTGTTTGATTGTATGCAATCCATTTATAATTATGTGTAATTTCTCTATTCAGACTTAGAGCATACTTTTCAAGAATTAAATCTAAAGATGTTTTGTGAATTTTATACTTTCGTAAAATATTATTTTATTTTGTTCTGAAATAATTTTTATTTTGAAAATGGGTAGTTGATAATTTTTACTTGAATAGTATTCAGGCGCTGAGATGAACAGTCCTCGGACCATGATGCTCCTTAAGCCTTATTAATTGCTTGTTGCACGTAAACTGTAATGGCATGTTGTTGCTTATCACCGGTACATATGTCACTGGCTCTTCCGATACCTGCTGTTGTTAAGCTCGTACTTTGTACACTAAAATAGATCCTTCCCCAAATTTATCTTGTCTCTCTTTATTGCTTCCATTGGATCAATTATAATCGTCCGTTTTACTATGTTAACTCCACTTTTCTTCATTTTATCTTTTTCGCGATTTCTCCTTATAGTGTAAAAGAAGATCGTCTGCATATTGTGACGTATGAATTTAATAATTGAATAAAATCCATAATTATTTTGCTTAATAAAATTTATTCTTCAAATTAAACAGTGTGCATTTTTCTATGTTTTGACAATAGTTGACAATAGGAAAGAATTGCGACAAGCTTTGTTTACCAGATGTGAGAAAACTCAGATAAATCTTCGAAAATACCTCATACTAGGCGGAATATACCATATTGATTTAATTTATCAACCACCACAACCAAAAGACATGAGACGGGATATGTTTCTTACAACTTGTAAGTTTAATTTATCACAGTTAATCGTGAGGTATTAAAAAGTGTTGCAGATTAAATTAACGCCAAAAAAGATTAAAATAATCAATTTTGGTATTATTTTTTACAATTAATGAAATTTTAGTTCATTAAATTTTTTTATAACTATAAAACATGAAGATATCGATAACTCCGAGTCTTCGACTAGAAGTCATCGATTTCTTTATATTTTATAATAATTAAAGATGACCAAGTAATAAAATCATTATTTAATATTATAAGAATATTATACTTCTTCAAAATTTCATTATTATTATTTTCATTATTTCAATTCAACTATTATTTTCAAAAATTTTTAACTACAATTTTCAATTTTACTTTATACCTATTATTTTTAATCATTTTCGAAAAAGTTCTTTGGCAATTTTCAAATCCATTTGTTTACAATATTCAATTTCACGAAATTTCAATTTTTCCTAAATTCTTTAATTAAATGCATATTAGAAAATAAAAACATCAAATAATATAAAAGAAAATTCAATTAAACTTTTACATAAAAATTAATTGCAAAATTCAATTATTTCTAAAAATTCACGCTATATTGCTTTTAATATTCAATTATAATCTAAAATTCTAACTGAAATTCATTTTTATGAAATAAAAATCAATTTTTATTAGAAAATTCTACAAGCATTTAATTAATTAAATGCAAAAGTAAATAATTTATTGAATAATTGAATGTTTCTCAAAATTCAATTCTCATAAAAAATTTTAGTAACAAGTTTTTAAATAATTGAATTTTTTTGACGAATTTTATTAAAACTTGCATGAACATAATTACTTTTTTCAAGGAATTGAATTATAATGTATGAAAAATAATTGAAACGCTGCGATGAGTTTTATGAGAATTTTCAAATTCATTTGTTTACAATTCAATTTTACAAAATTTCAATTATTCGGAAATTCTGCAATTAAATATATAAATGGAAAAAAAGTTGTAGTAATTTCAATAAAAATCCTATTAAACGTTAAAAAAAAAATTAATTCTACAGAATTTTTTGTCAAAAATATGAAAAATTAAGAATTTCAATGATTTTAGTTTGAAACTTTTTGAAAATTTAATTATTTCTAAAAATCCACGTTATAATGCTTTTAATATTTAATTATAATCTAAAATTTTAACTGTAATTCATTTTTCAAACCCATTTTTATTAGTAAATTCTACGAGAATTCAATTATTTAAATACAAAAATTAATAATTTATTAATTTTATGTTTCTTGAAATTAAATTCTCATAAAAAATGTTATCAACAAATTTTTTAAATCATTAAATTTTTTGGACGAATTTTAATAAAAATTTTAAGAATAATTACATATTTTTCGTGGAATTCGATTAAAATTGCATTAAAAATAATTGAATTATACATTATTTATATTGTAAAAAAAGTTTTAAAAAATTGACTTTTTTTCAAAATAATTCATGCAAATTCTATTTTTATTTTTTAATAATTAAATTCCTGTGGAATTTTCATTATTTTAGAAAATAATTGAATATTCGAATAGAATTTTGGCAAAATTGTTTTTAAATAATTGAATTGTTTTGGAAAATTTTGTAAAAATAATAGATATACCCACAAATTATTAAATTAAGAAAAATTTTGGAAAATAATTGAAATTTTGCTATGAATTTTATTAAAATTTTTGAAATAATTGAATTTTATTACGTTTGTGAAGATTTAAATTTTTGTGATGAACAATATTATTTATGAAAATAATTGAATTTTGCAATGAATTGTATTAAAATTCTTAAAAATAATTGAAATTTTGCTATGAATTTTATTTAATTTATAAAAAATTAAATTCTTGTGATGATTAATATTATTTATAAAAGTAATTGAATGTTGCAATGAATTTCATTAAAAGTCCTGAAAATAATTTAATTTTGTTATTCATTTTTAAAAATAATTGAAATATGTTGACCAAAATTTTTTTTCGATTTTTTTGAAAATAATTGAATTACTGCGAAAAATTTATTTAATGCCAAATTTTAAAACATTTGATTTTTTAGAAGAAAATTTTGCACATTATTTTTTAAATAATTGAATTTTTGTGAAATCTTCATTTTTTGGAAAATAATTTAATGTTTGTGTCGAATTTTATCAAAATTTTGAGGAATTGGATTAAAATTGAATTAAAAATAATTGAAATTCTGCAATGAGTTTTATTATTTATGAAAATAATTGAATTCCTAAAAGAATTTTATTATTTATAAAAATAATTGAATTATTGTAAAAATGTTATTATTTATGAAAATAATTGAATTATTGCGAAGAAATTTATAAAAAAATTTTTGTAAATAATTGAATTCCTGTAAAAAATTTTTATTATTTTTGAAAATAATTGAATACTATTGAAATAGTAGATATTGAAAATCATTGAATTCTAGAAAACTTTTGAGAATTGAAATTTTGACAAGAATTTTATTAAAATTTTGTAAAATAATTGAATATCAGAGAAGAATTTTATTATTTATAAAGAGAATTGAAATTTTGACGAGAATTTTTAAAAATTTTTGAACACAATTGAATTTAGTAACTATGTTACTAAGTTAGTTAGTAAGTTAGTAACTAACTTACTAACTTACTATTCTCCCTGGAGAAGCTAACTTCGTTGAATTTTTACAAATCGTTGACTTTGGTGTTTCATTTAAAGTAAAATTTCATTCATAGTTAAAAATATCACCAAAATAGATTATTTTAATCCTTTCTGGTGTTAATTTAATCCTAGAGGGACTAAACTGTTGCAGATTATTTTAATCCATTCTGGTGTTGTTTTAACACTTCACGTTTTACTGTGTATTTGATGAATAAAAGAAGAAATGTAAGATAAAATTATTTAATAATTTTATCCTTTATTTCATCATTTATCTTCATTATAACGTCTACAAATATCTTTATATGACATTTGCTAAACTAGAATTTTTATTTACACGTTAGAAAATAAGCATTTAATAAAATATTTATTTTATGAAAATTTATGGAATATGATTGAAATTAATTTTTTAATATTTCCTCTCCAGTGCAAATTCCCAAGAAATTAAGATTTGTGCCATTCTCAAAGCCTTATATAGCTCCTCCATCAGCTCCAGAATCGGAAAGAACTCCGGAAGTAATAGAAGCGGAAATGAAAGCTTTGGAAGCAGCGATGGAAGCTCTTGCACTAGTAACATTAAAGTACGTATACAACTTGGATTAACACACTTACGGATTTATTTACTTCAAATTTTTTTAATGTCAACTCATCCTTTTATTATATAAATAATACTATACTTGTTATTAATGTAACATTTTTGAAAGCAAAGGGACGAATTAAAGGGACGAATTTAATAATTAATTTAAAGGGAAGATGAATTTCTTTTACAAAAAGTTTGTTATAGTAATATACTTAAATGCCTAATTAATAATTATGAATACTTTGGAAATAATATGGTATATATTATAGACTGCCGGATTCAGTCCTTTGGTTCGAACCACCATTAGTTGCACATTGGATTCCGGAAAAAAGAATTTGGTCCACTAATGATGTTCACGATATAAAATATAATGAGGAGAAACAAATAATAACTTTTAGAAGTGGTAGACTTGGAATTCATGGACTGGCGGCTTTTCGATATGTTAATATACCATTTCAAAGTTGGGAGATGAAACCTGAATCTGGTAGAAGTACAGGGGGTGGTGTAATTTTAAGTATTACTGCAGCTATTATCCAAGCTGAGTTCATAGTAAGGGTTAGTGTTTCATGTTAATATTAACCCGGTAGGACTCGGGGAATAAAGAATAATTAATTTTTCAGAAAATTAGCTTCCAAACGACTGCATATTGATTTAATTTTTATGAATAGTCGAACATATCTTAATGTTTCATGTTTCTTTTGAAATCCTTTTAATTCTTTGCTTCATGCTAGGTATGATTTTGGTAAATCAATTATTGCACCTGTTTCAGGAAGACTTGGTTTGCTTACACTCTCTGGTCGGAGGAACAACTAATGCTTTACAAAATATTGTTAACCAGTACATGAAACTTCATTTGCTTATAAAAGTATGTTATTATTTATTAATTTTTGTACTTCATTTAATTTAAATTTAAGTACAAAATAATTTATTCAGTGCGCATAAAATTAACAATCCATAAGCTCGGTTACATGCCCTGATTGCAGTCGAGCCTCTGAACCACTTACTGCTACTTGAATGACATTAGCTTGTGATCGAGTCTATCTGTAGTCACTGCACGCAGTGCTTTAATTACGCACCTTAATATCATGTGACTGTTAGGTAAAATGGCTTGCCAAATCAATGCCATTTCTCTATGTGGTGTAGTATTTCTAGAAGGTAGATAATTTGCTTTTAACATCGGGAGTATAGTCCTTCATAAACCAGGGAATTTCTGTCGACCTAGTCGGCACAGTTTACAACTCTGTTTTTATTGTACTTTTTTAAAACTAAAAATCTCTTGGACACTAAAAATCCATTCACAATTAAATCCTTACTGTCCTGGATGTTTACATTTTTGAGAGATAAAGATCCCTTGAATTGAGAACAGCACAGAACAAAGCTCTGCTCTCGATTGATGCTCCAGTGTAGTTAGAAAAAGTGCGGTTTCTAATTTATATATGTAATTAAAATATTATAATTAATAAAGTAAAGAATCGTTCTATTCTAGAAAATGCGGGATGGAGGGTGTGACCTCTTTCCAGAAGATGACGCATATAGCTACGTCAAAGGACTGCCTATAAAACATCCAGTTACTGAAAAACATTTGCAAGCATGCATGGGTTTATTGTGTACCGCATATACATTCGCATGGTCTCGATGGAACGTAACTCGCGTCCCTCGCCAAATTGTCATTCAGATCAAGGAACTACATGGATGTATTGCTAAGCAGGTAACAAATCCATCAGTAGTCCTCTGCCTCCTCATGTGACCCTTATTGTCTAAAATCTTCTATTTGGATTATGAATAGATTTATGAAGATTATAAAAATTACATACATTTCCAATGTTTCACTTTTGGTTCCCTACCTTAAGGAACAGATCCTTTAAATCTTAGGTTGTCGTATTCTTAAATATTTTTGCATTTAGATGTTAATATTTTTTAATTAGCCATTTACGACTAGAATCTATAAAACGAGGACGTAAAGTAAATGCTTGTAAAAAAATCGATTTATTCGACAAAGAGATACCTATGTTAAAATTCAGTGATACATAATTCCTCAAGTACTCCCATTTTCATAGTTATACAAACATTTCCCGAGCATCGCATTAAAGTTTGCAGTGCAATGAGCTTACTTGGAATTTTTTAACATATTTAATTCGCGAATTGTCTTGTGGGTGTTTCAACTGAAAGCCACCAGACTTTAATTCCTCATAATCTTTATTTTTTATTTTTATGTGTAACAAAAGTCTTTAAGTGCTTAAGTCTGTACACTTGCCCCGAATGACTCTCGAGCATTTATAAGATTCATGACTACATTTGATATACATGCATATTATTTTTTTTTCAGCAAACAAATATGACCTTGTTAGTAACTCCAGTTCAAACAGTGGCAGTTGAATGTACGGAAGTCAGTCCAGAGTTCACTGATAAGCCAGTGGAAGGTGATGATGCAAAGGTTAACCATTTAAGCATCTAGTATTTCTGAAGATTATTCCACTGAACTCATTTCAATAATGCTCAATTATTTAATTTCAGTTCTACTCTGATCTTTATCATATGGCCTTACACAATGCTGGAATCAAAAGTCGCATTCTAATGAAGAATACATCTTTCATACTCGCTAGAACGGTCACTAAACTATTACAAAAGACTAATGTTATTAGTATGTCTTCTTGACACATGAAAATCGACTATTTATTTGAATCAAATAATAAATTACTTGTTTATTTATTAACTCTGAAATAGAAAATAAGAATTCAATATTTTTCTGAAACAATTTTAAAAAAATAAATTAATTCAAAAAACTAAATCCGTTTCGATTAAGTAACCTATGAAAAAAAATTCTGGTAAGGGTATATTTAACACGATATTTTAGTTAAAACAACCATGATTCAGGTTAAATTAACCAGAATTCTGGTTAACTTTACCGAAAAAATCTAGTAAGAGCATATTTAACACGAAATTCTAGTTGAAAACAGATTTTCTGGTAATTCCAACCAGAACTTTTTTGCAGTGTATGTAAAGCAAAAATTAATGATTAACATAAACAAGCTAACTTTATTTGATTCAAATCATTTTTTAGTGATGAAATTTTCTTATAACAAATATCAGAGTATGATTTCAGTTGTAGTATTATACCTACTTTGATTGAAAAAATTCGGTTTTACTAAGTTAACAAAACTATATTTCATTTAAATGTTGAAGTAAAAATTTCAAAGTTAAATTAGAAAAACCCTGCAATTAAATTAATTTTGATAAAACTTCTTAAAATAATTAGAATAATTTATTGAAGGTAATTACAATTTTTAAAATGTACATAATTCAAATTTTATAACAATTTAAAATTATAAAAACTAAAATTGAGGCATTCCTTATTTAGTGGGTTATCCCCTTTCTCCATTTCAAATTTGATCGTTGGAGGCCTTATAAAATTTTGAAAATGAGTTTTTTTTTGCATTTTCTTGATACACATTTCGTTTAAAGAAATTAATATTTTAAAAAAGCCCCATGGTATTAAAAAGTTTAAATTTTTGTCTTATAAAATGTTTTTAGATTTAAAAAATGAAGAAAAGGAGAGGCCCACTTGAGAAATAATGCTTCAATTATATAATTTTTTAAATAATAATAAATTTTCTCTCTCTCTCTCTCTCTCTCTCTCTCTCTAATTAAAATTCTAGAAATAAATTAAATTTCATTTGAAATTTAGAAAATACAAGTTTTTGTAAAATATAAAATTATACAATTTATAGAAAAATCATGAAACAACTAAACTAACTAACTAACTAACTAACTTAGTAACATAGTTACTAAATTCAATTGTGTTCAAGAATTTAAAAAAATTCTCGTCAAAATTCCAATTCTCTTTATAAACAATAAAATTCTTCTCTGATATTCAATTATTTTACAAAATTTTAATCAAATTCTTCTCAAAATTTCAATTATTTTCAAAAGTTTTCTAAAATTCAATGATTTTTAATATCTACTGTTTCAATCAAATTTTCCAAAAGAATTCCATTATTAAAAAAATCCCGATAAAATTTTATGCAAACATTCAATTATTTTCATAAATAAAATAAATTTTTACAGGAATTCAATTATTTATAAATTTTTTCGCAATAACAATCTTTGGAAATTCTGAAATTTTCATTTTTTTAATTAATAATTATTCTGCAAAACAATTTTTTTTTTAAATTTTAACTCCAATTCTGTTGAAATTAGTCGAATTTTTGAATTCAAAAATTTTAAATCAATTTTTTTAATGAATTCAATTATCTTGATAAACGTCATAATTCTTCTCGGAAATTCAATTCTTTTTAGGAATTTGAATAAAATTCATTGCAAAATCCAATTATTTTCAAAAATAATAAAATTCTTCCCTGAAATTAATTTACTTTCCAAAATTTTTTAAAAATTATCTTCAAAGTTTCAATTATCTTTATAAATAGGCTAGCAAAATTGTTCATGGAAATTTAATTATTTTAGAAAATATTAATACTTATTATAATTCTTGGCAACATTTCAATTAGTTCAAATAAATTTTTCTAATTCAATAATTTTCAATATAATTATTTTATTGAAATTTTCTAAAGGTATTCAATTATTAAATAAAATTTGAATAAAATTCTACGCAAACATTTAATTATTTTCATAAATAATAAAATTTTTTACAGGAATTCAATTATTTACAAATTTTTTTCTAAATTTCTTCGCAATAATTCAATTATTTTCATAAATAATAAAACTCATTGCAGAATTTCAATTATTTTTAATGTAATTTTAATCAAATTCTTCGAAAAATGTGATTATTCTTAAAAATTTTATTAAAATTCGTCCAAAGAATTTAATGGTTTAAAAAATTTGTTGATAACATTTTTTACGAGAATTTAATTTCAAGAAACATGAAATTAATAAATTATTTATTTTTGTATTTAAATAATTGAATTCTCGTAGAATTTACTAATAAAAATGGTTTTAAAAATGAATTTCAGTTAAAATTTTAGATTATAATTAAATAATAAAAGCATTATAACGTGGATTTTTAGAAATAATTAAATTTTGAAAAAATTTCAAACTAAAATCATTGAAATTCTTAATTTTTTATATTTTTGACAAACAATTCTGTAGAATTAATTCTTTTTAAAAGTTTAATAGGATTTTTATTAAAATTATTTCAAGTTTTTATTTTTCAATATATATTTAATTGCAGAATTTCCGAATAATTGAAATTTTGTAAAATTGAATTGTATAATAAACGAATGAATTTGAAAATTCTCATAAAACTCATCACAGAGTTTCAATTATTTTTCATACAATTATAATTGAATTCCTTCAAAAAAATAATTATGTTCATGCAAGTTTTAATAAATTTCGACAAAAAAATTCAATTATTTAAAAACTTGTTACTAAAATTCTTTATGAGAATTGAATTTTGAGAAACATTCAATTATTCAATAAATTATTTACTTTTGCATTTAAATAATTAAATTCTTGTAGAATTTTGTAATAAAAATTGATTTTCATTTCATAAAAAAGAATTTCAGTTAAAATTTTAGATTATAATTGAATATTAAAAGCAATATAGCGTGAATTTTTAGAAATAATTGAATTTTGAAATTAATTTTTATGAAAAAGTTTAATTGAATTTTCTTTTTTTTTATTTGAAGTTTTTATTTTCTAATATGCATTTAATTAAAGAATTTAGGAATAATTGAAATTTCGTGAAATTGAATATTGTAAACAAATGGATTTGAAAATTGCCAAAGAACTTTTTCGAGAAAATTATTAAAAATAATATATACAAAATAAAATTGTAATTAAAAATGTTTGAAAATAATAATTGAATTGAATTAATGAAAATAATTTTGAAGAAGTATAATATTCTTATAATATAAATAAAATAATGATTTTATTACTTGGTAAACTTTAATTTATTACAAAATATGAAGAAATCGATGACTCCGAGTCTTTTACTAGGAGTTATCGATATCTTCATGTTTTATAGTTATAAAAAAATGTAATGATCTAAAATTTCATTCATTGTAAAAAATAACACCAAAATTGATTATTTTAATCTTTTTTGGTGTTAATTTACAGTACCGTCCGCAATTGTCAGTCCACCCATTTTTAAAGGAATGACAAAAATTTTTTAACATAAAATTCATGAAAACTAAAATTTTTTTTGGTTTATATTTTGAAAGACGATAAAATTTTGAAAAGAATAAGACCTTAAAGAAGTCATTTGGCCAAAATTTGTAGAAGATATTCCTAAAAATCGTCATTTTCAATGTTTTACAAAAATTTAAATAACTTCTAAAATAATGAACGCTTTTTAATAATCTTAGGCTTATTTTAAAGATCTTTTTCTACGGAATAAGAATTACTTATAGGCATTAACCTGTCATTTTTAACTTGGAATAAGCATGACGTCAAAATTAGACAAAAAAATTGGAAAAATTTGAAATCAATTTTTTGAACTAAAAACTATTCTAGAACATATATAAAACATGATATGGTGTAGATTTTTCAAGAAAATTTAATAAAAATATATGTTTGAATTTCAAAAAATATTTTTCTTTTAATAATATTATTTCAAATTTTTTGAATTTTTTTGTCCAACTTTGACGTCATGCTTATTCCAAGAAAAAAATTACAGGTTAATGCCTATAAGTAATTCTTATTCTGTAGAAAATGGTCTTTAAAATAAGCCTAAGATTATTAAAAAGCGTTCATTATTTTAGAAGTTATTCAAATTTTTGTAAAACATTGAAAATGACGATTTTTAAGAATATCTTCTACAAATTTTGGCCAAATGACTTCTGTGAGGTCTTATTCTTTTCAAAATTTTATCGTCTTTCAAAATATAAACCAAAAAAAATTTTACTTTTCATGAATTTTATGTTAAAAAATTTTTGTCATTCCTTTGAAAATGGGTGGACTGACAATTTCGGACGGTACTGTAATCTGCAACACTTTTTAATACTTCACGATTTACTGTGATTCTTATAGATACTTTTCTTCGGAGTGTGTCACAAATGTAAAACTTCCTCAAAATGTATTTCGTAAATAAATAAAAGCGGATAATAATATTATCCGCTTTTTATTTATTGTTCTTCTATACGTAAAATAATGTGGCGGGTGATAAAAAATGTCAGTATTGTCCAATAATTGTTGATAACGCACATAAATACTTAAATTTTGTAGAAATAAATTGTTAACAAGAATTTAAATTTTATAAATTAGAAAATGTAATAAAATACCTCTACATATAATAATTGGGGGTCAGGTGTATTAAATAAAAACAAAATTTCCACAAACGATTCATACAATAATTTATTTTGCATCGATCATTATTCCATACTATTATGATACATTTACAGAACATGGACTTGCATAATGGGGATTAGATGCAACGGGCTATTCTCAATTAATTGTTTTTTTTTTTTGTCTTTTTTTCTGTTTTTGTTATTAGAACCTTTCTGTAAAACCAAAGCGCTGGACCTAATGTCTTGAATGGAAAAAATCTCAACTATATCATTACCAAATCTATAAATTCGTAAGTACGCTTGTACAATACGACGCAGCTAAATTTAAATTATTTAATAGTACATATCATATAGTCTTCCATGAAAAAATAAGCTTCAAGTTACGATAGATTAACAAAATAGGTCATTCTTTATCAATTTGAATTTGTCTCACGAGTCATAAGGAAAACTCGT